AAATATCAACAACCTCAGATATGCAGATGACACAACCTTGATGGCAGAAAGTGAGGAGGAATTAAAGAACCTTTTAATGAGGGTGAAAGAGGAGAGCGCAAAATATGGTCTGAAGCTCAACATCAAAAAAACGAAGATCATGGCCACTGGGTCCATCACCTCCTGGCAAATAGAAGGGGAAGAAATGGAGGCAGTGAGAGATTTTACTTTCTTGGGCTCCATGATCACTGCAGATGGTGACAGCACTCACAAAATTAAAAGACGCCTGCTCCTTGGGAGAAAGGCGATGGCAAACCTAGACAACATCTTAAAAAGCAGAGACATCACCTTGCCAACAAAGGTCTGTATAGTAAAAGCCATGGTTTTCCCAGTAGTGATGTATGGCAGTGAGAGCTGGACCATAAAGAAGGCTGATCGCCGAAGAACTGATGCTTTTGAATTATGGTGCTGGAGGAGACTCTTGAGAGTCCCATGGACTGCAAGAAGATCAAACCTCTCCATTCTGAAGGAAATCAGCCCTGAGTGCTCACTGGAAGGACAGATCGTGAAGCTGAGGCTCCAATACTTTGGCCACCTCATGAGAAGAGAAGACTCCCTGGAAAAGACCCTGATGTTGGGAAAGATGGAGGGCACAAGGAGAAGGGGACGACAGAGGACGAGATGGTTGGACACTGTTCTTGAAGCTACAAACATGAGTCTGACCAAACTGTGGGAGGCAGTGGAAGACAGGAGTGCCTGGCGTGCTCTGGTCCATGGGGTCACGAAGAGTCGGACACGAATGGAATCTGAATGGACGTTCAAAAAATAGCCACCACTGTCTAAGCTCCCCACAATTTGTGTGCAATCTAATCAGGATGAATGCTCAAACATGGAGGAGAGACCAAAACTGCATTTTGGTTTTATCTAGTTCTGAGGAAATTTATCAAATGTTGCCATTTTTATTTTTATTTTATTTTTTTGCTTCTATGTAAACCACTTAAGAGGTTTTGAAATCAATAAATAAATGCCCTTATCGTACGTATTAGTCCTCAAGGTGCCACAAGACTTCTTGTTTTTTGCTGCAACAGATTAACAAGGCTACTAACCCTCTGGGATTTATTAGCACAGTTGTTCCTAAGTAGGTTTCCCTACTTAGCTCTACAGAGGTCTTGGTTTAGCAGTGGCGATGGCAGGCCATATATTGAGAAAGTTGTTATCACTTATCTTCTTCCGCCCCATTCCCAATAGCTGTAAAATATATAAGATTCCTGTGCAAGAGGCAGAACTCATGCAGCAAACAGGAGTAATTCTACCTTATCAAGGCATATGTGATTTTTGTAAAATATAGCTTTGGGGTTCTCTTCATGCTGTCATGTTTAATTCTGTAAGGAAGAGGCTGATGAATCTGCTACCAGCCCAGTAAAAGGCTGTTTGTGTAGCCCCATTGGCTATGAAAAATGCATGAACTTCATGTCAACAGATGGGAACATTTACATACACCACTATGTTTTGAAACAGTAATATACACCACATGGAGAGTAAAAACACAATGCATGGATTGAAGTCTTTCATGTCAATTCACATTAAAATCAAGCTTTCTCAAGTGCCAATTGACATTCGTTTAGGACCAGAAAAGTGAGCTGGTTGCTTGTTCTGGGATGAGAACTAACAAGTCCATGAACACAGAAATGGGTGAATCTGTCAATTTCAATTTCTCTCCGTTTCTCATTTTCCCCAACTTATATTCATTTCTACACATTTCCGCAGTTTTCGACTTAGAAAAAAAAAGTCGAAAATTCCTTTTAGTGCAAATGTCTCTGCACATTTCCGCAAAGCAATTTCCTCTAATGTATCATATTTTTGTATGTTATATGCGTTTCTGTGCACATTAGCTGGAGAACTGCATTGCAATATTCAAAACAGTGTCAATTTTTAGGGATGGCTGCATTGTTCATGAGCTGTTTCAGAGCTCTCACTCCTTCTCTATCACTGTTTAGGATGCAGGGATGCAGAACATTCACCTTCCGTTGCTTACCTCTGTGGGAGGTACCTTATCTTTGCAGTCCCAGTTGCAGCAGTGGAGGGGAAGTTCTAGTAGGTATTTGCTCCTGGAGTCCTGAATTAAGGTATCCAGAAGAATTTCAGGAACCACAAAAGTTAGCAATCTAACCTTCCTTTATTTGCTGTTGGCATGATCTGCTTGCTGTCTTGAGCAGAGTTGCTCCCTTTTTGTGTCAATGTTCTTTCAGCAAGACCTCATATTCTCGCCAGTCTCACCTGTCCTTAGTTAGGTCCCTCACCATAGGAAGCTGCCTTACACTCAGCAAAACTGGTTGAGGCTGATGGGCTTTGGATTTCACCAAAATCTGGAGAGCAACTAGGTCAGGGAAGGCTGCTCTTGACAATATTAGGTAACAACAAGCCAAGAGTTTGAACATACAAAGAGATTTACTTTGGGGGGAAAGGAGGCATTTTATTTTGGCTGGAAATAAATTATATAAAGAGCAAATATCATTTTTGTAGCTTTTTTAAATTTAATTTTAAACCACACCATTAACTTTATTACAGTTTATAGAGGATATTTTAAAATGTCAAAAAGTACAGGCCTACATTTCATTACTAGAATTTCACTTCCCATTGTTCTTCTCTGCTGGGGTGTTTCCGTTTTGTTTCGTTTCTCCCTGAAATATAATACTTGATCAAACGTATGATTTATGAATATGTGGTTTTGATCCTTCACAATATACGGTGGGGAAATGGTTCAATAAAAAGTTATTAAAGAAAAATCCATAATGTTTCATATGTTGTGGTCCCATCATAGAGCAAGAGACCTGAAAGACTACAATCAATCACATGGTAAGCACCTCTGAGATGAACTTGCCATTCAGCATATGTAACTAACACCAGCCTAGAAGGCCTGCGTCAGCCAAAACCCAACAATGCAAACTGTCGCCTCCACTAAATGAATGGGGAAGCCCTTGTGGGCAGCAGAGCTCTATCTGTGGATCTATGTAAACCTTTGACCTCAGGCAATGCATTCCTTGAGAGGATAAATGTTGTTATTTGCTTGGGGTCTACAGCACATTATGTGTATTTTGATATTATTGATTAAATACTAAATGGTTAGACACAAGGTTAACTGGTAAAAATAAAAATAAAAATCCTTGACCCAACCGACATGCCTATATTGGGTGAATGATAAATGCAGCACAGAGTTTTGAGTTTTAAAAATGCCATTATGGAGCGTCAGCAGAACTCCAACGATGACCTTACTGTGTCAAAATGGTATGTCTTCGTAAGAGATGTTCTGAGGCCATTTATTGGAATTCATTGTGGAGGGCCAAAAGTAGATGAGATTCTATTTGTACGCTTAGCAATTATGTCAATAGCTTTAAAAAGTAATAGCAGCCCCCTCTGATCTGATTCAGGACCTTCATACAGGAAGAAAAAGAAAAAGAGCTTCCATTAGGGCAAATGAGATCTTTTCTTTCAATGCAAGTACCAGGCATGGGTAAGGTTGAGCTGGATTGGGACTGTAAAATGAGGCAAGAGATTAAAGCCCCTTTCTCAACACCACAGCCCCAATCCAAATTGAGTCCCCCATGCCTGCTATTTATCTTTTAAGTAATTCACAGAAGAGCTGATTGCATGAACCCTGATTAGTTTGTCGGCCCTGTTTCTGTCTCCTTTCAAGACTTTTCCCAAAGCAGAGTTTCAACATAAGGCAAAAAAGGAAAAGAGAATACTCCCCTCTGTTGAAGGACAGAGCTGTGTATGTCACACAGCTTGTCCAAAGCCGCCTAAACTTGCTGGCTGCCTTTGCTGTAGCAGAGAATGCTATCTCAATTCTAGTGTTGAAGTAAGAGTCTGTTGCCCAACCAGTTAGCTTCTATACATACAATGGGGAAGAGGGCGCCATTTTGTCCTTCACCTCAGATGGCAAAATGTCTTCCGTTAGCACTGTGTGAGGCATAGGCATCCCACTAATTTTTCAAGCCAACATAGTCGGGGCTTCTTCCCCCAACTCCAACCCTCTTCTTTTGCTTTCTATTTGAAGTTGTGGAAACGTATAAATTTCCTATTTACCTCAAAATAGCTTTCGTTTTGAATAGATGTGGGATATTTAAAAAACAACAACAACCGAGCATGTAATGTACTGAGCCTGGATCCTAGAACAATAGGCAGGTAGGATCCTAAAAAGCAGCAACCTGATTGGCCTGCAGGAGCCGCCCAATCCGGCTCCAGGAGGAAGTGAATCAGCAACCTGATTGGCTTGCAGGAACAGTCCAATCAGGCTCCAGGAGGGGAATTGAATCAGCCAATCACATGGGACCCATTGTGTAAATAATGTATGTATAGCCAGAGGTTTTTGGGGAAAAGGACTCACTCACTGTTTACCGTGAGCTGAAATAAAGAGCATGAAATCAACACTCAGCTCCGAATATATTTCAGAGCATCTAGTTGTTATTAACAGAGATCCAGAGGTGTTGATGTGGTAAGGGCATTTATTTATTATTTAAAGCAGCATCTTGTATATCTGCAGTTCTCTGTGACCTTGAAAGAAGACGATACGAAAGCCTTCCATTTGCCATCATCTCACAGTGATTACCTTACCTGAGATCAGCAGGGAGCAATCCTCAGGTTGGCAGCAGCCTGCGCCCAAGTGATTGAAAACAACTAGCTGAAAAACCTCTAAACATCAGACTAAAAAGGGTACACTGGGGCTTAGCTATGTTGACAGTGTAAAACAGTCGCACATCCTCGAAGCACAAGGCCTATCTATCTTAGCAATGGCTTCAAAAATAGGCTTGCACTTTTGGATTCCACTTGTTCTAGCTCCACAGTCACGCTCATGTGCCACTCTGTACAAGATTTGGCTTTTGATACAATACAATCAATGCTGGGTTTGGGCCAAATTCTTGATATGTGCCCATAGTCACACCCACAACAATTCGTAGTGCCTGGGAGCCAACATAGGCAAGACTTTCTCACCACCACACGCCAAAATGGTCTTATTATTGCTAAAAGAATAAGTAATAAACCCAATAAAACAAATTGACTACCAAAAAACACAGAGGGAAGAGCAATCTTGAGTAGTGTTCGATGTTGCCTGGATTTTGAATTGTGAAATAGCTGACAACCCTGCGCATTTTGTTCCTCAAAAGAAACCGAATTTTGTCCTTTGGTTTCATAGTCAAACCACTGTGGGCGATATTATCGATGGCACTGAAGTTGATCTTTTGATTGTAGCTGGTGACAGATGTGGAAAAGATACTGGTGACATCTTCCGTTTCTCTGGTAACCTCATTTGTAGAAGCCTAAAACAAGAAAAAGTTACCAATACACATTTGGGCTATATCACTATTTCATAACCAACGCACCAAAACCAAGTACAAGGAAATATAACTGCAGAGGGCAGAAGTTCACTGTGACTCTGTTGCCAACATACCATTAGTCTGGGATGTTAGAAGAATAAATAAATCCCTGGAAGTCTTTAGCAAAAGCCAAATTCTTGTTTACTGATGCTAAACCCTGAGGGACCAAAATTTAATATCCTGTCTAGGAACTTGGTGAACACACCCTTTGATGGCTTACAGGTGGTGGTGTTTTTTGAAGTAAGTTTCCAGCCCCAATACAAAGTGATTTCCCCTCACTACTGCAGTGCCAACACTCAGAGAAACCATGCCACCACCATCTAGGAGATACCATATTTTCCCGTGTATAACACCCCCCTCCCCCGTGTATAAGATGCCCCCTATTTTGGGGAACTGTAATTTAAGAAAAAATAGGGACGCGGGTTGCGCTGTGGGTTAAACCACAGAGCCTAGGGCTTGCTGATCAGAAGGTCGCCGGTTAGAATCCCTGAGACGGGGTGAGCTCCCGTTGCTCGGTCCCAGCTCCTGCCAACCTAGCAGTTCAAAAGCACATCAAAGTGCAAGTAGATAAATAGCTACCGCTCCAGCAGGAAGGTAAACAGCATTTCCGTGCGCTGCTCTGGTTCGCCAGAAGTGGCTTAGTCATGCTGGCCACATGACCCGGAAGCTGTACGCCGGCTCCCTCGGCCAATAAAGCGAGATGAGTGCCGCAACCCCAGAGTCGGCCACGACTGGACCTAATGGTCAGGGGTCCCTTTACCTAATTTAAGAAAATGGGGGAAGATATCCTGGAGTTTTTTGGGGGGGATTGCCTAGAGTTGTTGAGCTTTTTGGGCGGAGGTGCAGAAAACCACTAACGCTGACAACCACTCGCATCACAGAAGCAAAGAAGCGTCTGCCCACTCGCAAACAGCAGCCGGCAATCGCATGCACAATTGCCGCAGCAGCAGCCAATCCACAGCAGCCCTTGCAGAAGCCAAAAATCACCCACCAAATCGTGCTGACAAGCTGCAGCTCACGGCTGCAACCTATCACCTGTCCCCCCCCCATACACTGTGTACAAGACGACCCCCATTTTTAAAGATTATTTTAAAGAGGGGGAAAAACTCGTCTTATACACGGAAAAGTACAATTTGCAACTACATCAGACTATGGGTTGTCATTGCTCTGCTAGGATTCTGGAAATGACAACAGCTGCAGTGTAGCTAAATACCACTTTTAGGACAGGCCTGAGATGATGATGATGATAATTATTATTATTATTATTATTATTATTTATTATTTATATATTTATACCCCGCCCATCTGGCTGGGTTTCCCCAGCCACTCTGGGCAGCTTCCAACAAAACACTAAAGTACAATAACCTATTAAACATTAAAAGCTTCCCTAAACAGGGCTGCCTTCAGATGTCTTCTACAAGTTTGGTAGTTATTTTTCTCTTTGACATCTGGTGGGAGGGCGTTCCACAGGGCGGGTGCCACTACCAAGAAGGCCCTCTGCCTGCTTCCCTGTAACTTGGCTTCTCGCAGTGAGGGAACCGCCAGAAGACCCTCGGCAATGGACCTCAGAGATCAAACCCTGGCATCCATGGGCAGCTGCCAGGACCTCCTCAGCACCCGCCGTTGGTTCCCTGGTTTCTCTTTAGTGTAGGCTGGTGTTCCAAGCAGCAGTACGCAGCTGGATCTGGCTGTCACATTAATTTCCCACAATGCACCCAAAGGAAACACTTCACCAGGGGCAATATGGGAAATAAAGCAGAGGCTGGACCCATCAGCCTGATGCTTCTTGCAGCATCGTCACCTCCAGGCAAACCCACCAGCAGAGAAGGAGGCCCACCAGAAGATGTCCTCCATCAAACCTAGAGCCTGACTTAGAATAGATACAATTTTCAAAATCCTTGATCATTTATGGCCTTATTTTGGTTTCCTGATTGTGTACTAGCTTCTCCTCTAGGAAAGCGAACGCCCAGGAGGCAAGTCACGTCCTGTTTTCAGGCACAAAGGGTAACAGAGGGGGCTAAGGATATAATTCATTCTCCTCCTGGCCTGTTCTTTCAGAGGCTGCTTGCTTCCATGGAGAAAGCGGACACTGGCAGATTCTGCTTTCATGGAACTGCGTAAGTCCGAATCCAGCCTTCTCCACTCTCATAGATCTCCCCTTTTGCTTTAACACCTGCATCAAAACTACTGCATGTTATATTTTTGGCTCCTGTTCTGGAGGCTGGGGGAGGGGGAAGCTCGGGCTTGCTCCTCCCCCAGCCGTGCAAGCTCCCAGAGCGATGCTGAAACTGCCCGCAGCTTCGGCATCGCTCTGGCTCCCGTTCTGGGGGCTGGGGTCGGGGGAAGCTTGGGCTTCCCCCACCCCGGCCCCGTGCCTGGGGTGTGTGTGGAAATTTCCCCCCTTATTCCCCCCCCCCCAAAATCTAGGTGTGTCCTATGGGCCGGTGCGTCCTATAGGGCGAAAAATACGGTAACTTTTTCACCGCTGAAAACGGTGCGGAGCTCTATCTGCTGCTCTTCCCATTGCAAATCTAAACTATGCAATAGGCGTTCTGTTGCTCTTTAAATGCAGCTTGCCAGGTAATTTAATAAACTTGAAAACATTTCATCTTTTGCTGATCTGTAGTTTGCTCTGAATGCAATATCTGCTTCGGCTCCCTGTTTCTTTCTATTATTATTATTATTATTATTATTATTATTATTATTATTAATATTAATAATAATAATAATAATATTAACATTAATATTAATATTATTTCTTATACCTTGCAATTTTTCTACCGTGAGCAAATTCATCTTCTTTTCGGTTCTTATTTGCTTTCATTACCCATCTTTCCTTTTGAGACTTGTTCCTTTTTTATGTCTTCCCTTGTCTAGTTGTCACGCCAACTCAATTTCCAGGTGAAAACTTGGCTTGGTAATGCTTTCCCTGAAGCATAACTTCCCCACTTCTATACATCCTGCTCCCCAACACCTTCTCCCTTATTCATTCCTAATAGAAGGCTGCTGGCTTTATTATTGTTCATATGCGATTCTACTGGAAACGCTTATTATATTTGATATTAATTGATATAATGCTTGACAGCTTATTTGGCAATTTAAAATGTTACTAGGTTGATGCTATCCAAATAATTCATTTGTAACATTATGTTTTGAAATGATCTACTGTTTGAATAAGGGACGCGGGTGGCGCTGAGGGTTAAACCACAAAGCCTAGGACTTGCCGATCAGAAGGTCGGCGGTTCGAATCCCCGTGACGGGGTGAGCTCCCATTGCTCAGTCCCTGCTCCTGCCAACCTAGCAGTTCGAAAGCATGTCAAAGTGCAAGCAGATAAATAGGTACCGCTCCGGCGGGAAGGTAAACACTGTTTCCGTGCGCTGCTCTGGTTCGCCAGAAGCAGCTTAGTCATGTTGGCCACATGACTGGGAAGCTGTACGCCGGCTCCCTCGGCCAGTAAAGTGAGATGAGTGCCACAACCCCAGAGTCGGCCATGACTGGACCTAACGGTCAGGGGTCCCTTTACCTTTACCTTTACTGTTTGAATGTTGCGATGATGATGCATATTTCTTGTGTTGTGAGCTGCTTTGGGTATATGTATAGGGGAAAGTGGCCTACAAGCTAAATAAATAAATCTTTTTGTTTACCTTTTGCGATGCGATATAGTGAGCTACTGCATATTCTATCAAGGCACCAAATATGAAGGTGAAGCAGATGCCCAGGTAAACATCAATGGCTTTTATGAAACCATTGGTCTTTGTCACAGCGTTTCGTGAGCCCATCATCAGAGTTGTCATTGACAGCACAGTTGTTACTCCTGCGGGGTGGGAGGGAGGAAGGAACACTTTAATCAAAAGAAAAGCACAGGGCTGGCCAAAGATGGTGGGCCTCCTCACATTTCACATATCGAATCCGACTAGCCTTAACAACTGAATCCTACTTCAACAATGTTGATGGGACACATCTGAAGGCAGCAGGCTAGCTGCTCTGGCTTCCAACAGGTGAGGCACTGAAGAAGAAGAAGAAGAAGAAGAAGAAGAAGAAGAAGAAGAAGAAGAAGAGTTTGGATTTGATATCCCGCTTTATCACTACCCGAAGGAGTCTCAAAGCGGCTCACATTCTCCTTTCCCTTCCTCCCCCACAACAAACACTCTGTGAGGTGAGTGGGGCTGAGAGAGAAGTGTGACTGGCCCAAGGTCACCCAGCAGCTGCATGTGGAGGAGCGGAGACGCGAACCCGGTTCCCCAGATTACGAGTCTACCGCTCTTAACCACTACACCACACTGGAATGACTTTGTGGCTGTTGCCAAGTAAAGGTACCTATATCTTACCTTAGCATGGCAGCAGAAGAACTGGGGGAGCACTGAAGTCTCACCATTTTCTTTCTGGGTGCACATGCATTTGCTCATTCTTGCTAAGCCATGGTGCTGTACCATTGAGCTATAGCCCTTCGTCATCCATTTTTCTCAGTTTAGGATGTCATCCAGAAACTAAGCTACACTAAAGGACTGATCCCCTTCTAAAGAGTTCATGCATTCCTGAAGGCAGTTTGAAAAACACATGCTGTGCCAATTCATGGCTGGCATGAAATAATATTCAAAGTCTGAAAGCACATTCAGAGTTAATTCGTATTTTCCATCTGACAGCATTTGATAGATGCTGTTCAAATTAGCATTTGACAGGTGACAGTGGTTAACATGTCAAATGTTTGTGATGATTTATCCCAGCTTTGGAAACTTGGGTACCACAACATTTCAGTTTTTACATTCAACATAGCTTGTAGCACCTCACAAACAACAGGTGGTTGTGTTCTCTTGCTCCCTCTCCCATCCACTGCATGAAGTATCCTACTTCAGAGAACAGCTCACCAATACATGTTCTTGCCGGAACGGAATCCAGAGTGATCCAGAAAGAAACCCAAGACAATATGACGAGGAGGGTGGATGGCACATACGTCTCCAGAATGAAATACAGGATATTTCTCTTGAGTTCAAACTGCAACACTAGTCTTGGGTAATTGCCTAGTTAGAGAAAGAAAACACATCCTACAATGAAAAGAAACCATCCACAGAGAGAAGGCAATCCTATGCCAAGTTTTATTCAATGGATGCAGATTTTTGACGAAGTAGAGAAGAGAGCCATCATATTACTGGCCAGAAGACAGGCCTGGCATCAGAAGTGAGTCCCTTTCAACTCTACAACTCTATGATTCTACAGTGGTACCTCAGGTTAAGAACTTAATTCATTCTGGAGGTCCGTTCTTAAAGACTCTCCTCCTGCAAGAGAGGGGAGTGGTTGTGGTCGGGAGCCGGACTCCGCCTCAAGCAGGGGGCGTTAGCCCCCTGCCTCCCACTCACCTGGCTGGCCTACGCCCACGGGCAGGCACCCAACCAGGTGCCTGCGAGGGGGCGTGTTTAGCAGCCCAAATTGCTGCGGCACCAGCCTTCCGGCCTCACTTTTCGTCGTCCCTTCGCGAGTCACCCACCCTCCACTCCCTTAGAGCTCAGGGTCTCCGTTTTCTTTTGGCCTTGCTATGGACCTTAGGTTGGTCGCCCTGGTTGTCCGGGGGGCCTGCTAGGAATTTTTCCATTTGGCATTAGGCCTTTTGGTTTTTTCGCCTACCTCGTAGCAATCGTCACAACTTTCGTGGTATTGGTGGGTAGGTTAGGCATTGGAATAATGTGTTGTGGTGTGTCGAAGGGCTAGGTGTGGCCATCGCCTATGCCTTCAATTTTTGGGTATTCCGTTAAAGGAATCTGGCGGTCGTGTATATTGTCTGATGCCTGCTTGGCGGGAGGCCATGGCACGACCCTCGGTGACATCAGGGGAGCGCTTATAGTTGGATTAGCATCAACAGGCTCCACCTACTGGTGAATAAACCCCCCTGTTTTAGACTCACCCCTCTCTGAGGGGGTGGAGCCAGCTGACGTAATCCAATGCCTAAGCCAATACTGTACCTTTTCACTTGCTGTAATCAATAAAGTTGTGGCCTTTTCTTGCCCATTAACCTTATATCACGTGTCCTCGTGTTTTCATTCCACTACGCGGGGATCGGGTCCTCGAACCACAACCTGAAACTGTTCTTAACCTGAGGTACCACTTTAGCTAATGGGGCCTCCTGCTGCCACCGGAGCACGATTTCTGTTCTCATCCTGAAGCAAAGTTCTTAACCCGGGGTACTATTTCTGGGTTAGCGGAGTCTGTAACCTGAAGCGTCTGTAACCCAAGGTACCACTGTATAGTTCTATGATCACCTCTCCAAAGTTCTCAAAATCAGAGAAAGGTTCATAAGTAGACCTGGACCATTCAGAACAGCTAACGTTTGTGAGCCATATTTGTTTACGTCTCTGCTTCTCCAGCTTTCGTTACCTGTTTCCTGGTGAGACATTGTTACAAGGCTGTAATAGTGCTCCACTGTGTACTGAGAAAGTCGCAGGTTCTCAAGGCCGTGGACTGAATCGTTTCCCCTCAACCAAGTGTACAGTAGATCATTTTCATCATATCCCCCTGCAGGCAATATATTAAAAAGGCATCAAGAGGTCAGTGGCGTAGCGTGGGGGGTGCAGGGGGGGCCGTCCGCACCGGGCGCAACATCTGGGGGTTAGGGTTAGGGGGCGCAAATCCACGGGTTAGGGGGTGCAAATTACTTGCCTTGCCCTGAGTGCTGACAACCCACGCTACGCCACTGCAAGAGGTAACTGGACAACCAAATGAGTAAGTAGCTGAATGTTTTGCCCCTGCGTCCTGCACTGGACTCTTGAACTCCCACTGGAGTTCTTGATTTCCAGAGCCCATTTTAATGCTCTCCCTTCAGCACTACTAGAAGGCAGATATCATGACATCCCAGCTGAACAAAGATTATGTCCATGCAACTCTAATGAGATTGAATCCATTGGGCACGTTCTTCTCCATTGGGCCCGTTGTACTGTGATACCTGAAGAGAGCTAATTTTACCATTATTAAGGAAATTACCGCTCAGAGGAATCTTATGTTAAATACCTTCTTGCCAATAAAGATCTGAATATCATCAGGCCGGTTGCAAAATTCTGTTTTATAGCAACGAGGACAAGACAGGCTGTGGTGACAGTGATGGCCGGAGAATGAGTACTGATTTTAATTTCCAGAATACAGATTTTAGCTGAAGGAGTATTATTTTTAATGTAAATAAGTTTAGAGGGAAATTTTAATTACACCCGCTTCTTTATGCGGTTGTGGCGTATGTTGTTGTTGTTAACTTTGCTGTCTGGTCTTTGACCGGAATAAAGATTGATTGGTTGTGTACACACCATATATTCAAAGCACACCTTACACATAGAATCCTAGGGACCATCGATTGTTAAAGGTGCTGGAAACTGTTCAGTTCCCAGGATTCTTGAGGATGGAGGAATGTGTGTTTTCATTTATAACAATACAGGCAAAACATACATACAAACCGATATAAAACCATCAAAGCATTCCAAAGACCATATTGAGAGAGAGAATTATATAGGTGAACTGTGCATCTTAATTGCACACTTTAGATTTGATGGATATCATAGGGTCTCTTGGGTTTGACCCCGGGTCAATCATCCAGCAGACGAGTTGGTTGATATCGGTTATAACCCAATGAGTAAGCCAAACCTCTTACACCTGTAATTGATGAAGTTGCGTCCTAATTTGAACCCTACAATGGTGTCATGAGTGGCTGGGCAGTGGGCCATAGCACCTGGGCATGCAACAACTAAAGGGACACAGCTTCCCCTCTCTACTCTCAGTGTTACAAGACTGGTTATTTGAGTCTATCCCCCATTGCTGACAATGGAAAAGAAGCTTTGAATGAGTGAGGTCTCTTGTAAGTAAAGATTGCCATTTCATCAGCAGCATGGATGTAAGTTCAGCCCAACAGAAATTACGAGCCATTTCCCCCTATGAACGGAAGGTACTGCAAATACAAAGAGTTATACAACTCTCCTAAAATCAGATTGCTTTCATAAACAAGCCAATAACGTTTTCGTCGGCCCAGCTATTTAATTAAAGATCTGCCACGCAGTAAAAACGGAAACACTGATATTTACCAGTTTGCCTTCACAGCAAAGAGCGAGAAATTGTGTTTTCCACTAGAAACAAATGACGGGAATCTTGCAACAGATATTACACAGAATGTGCTGATTCCCCAGGTACAAATCATCCAAATATGACTTTTCAAAGTTTGCGCCCAGTTTGTAATAATAACTGCCGTTACTAAGGGAAACTTTATAATAAATGACTGATTGTTCTTAATTCATCTGGCATATATTTAAATAGCATTAATTCCAGGCATTTATCCTAATGACATCTCCAGTTGGCAATGTGCATGTAATTTCATAAGAATAATATGGCACAGGAGCTTGACATAGGACCCAATTACTCTCTTTCTCTCTTTTTAAGGCTAAACCCAGCTACATTTTAAAACAAGAGGCTAATCATTATTATTTCAGTTTCTGTGCATTGTAATAAAGTTAATCATGGCAAACTAATATGATTTTAATGTGAAAATAATAGGCCCTTCCATAGGAACTCCACTCAAGTAGCTGGCAAGTAAAACCTGGTCTTAAAATAATGAGATTTTAGACATTGCTTGAATTGGTAACCATGATGAACAAAGAGTCTTCAAGAAGTTCAGTCCTCGCATGCACCCAAATTGTTCTGGTTCTTCTTGCCCCCATGTGTGACAAAAGCCCATGACTCCTTAAATCAGGAATTCCCAAACTGCGTGCAAGGGCACAGTAGCGTGTCACACACAAGAGAGCAGTTTGTGTGCCCTGATAAATAAATCTATTAAATAAGTAAAGGTTACCATGTGCACAGACAGGAGGCTGCTTTATCCAATAAAAAAGGTAAAGGGACCCCTGACCATTAGGTCCAGTCGTGGCCAACTCTGGGGTTGCAGCGCTCATCTCGCTTTATTGGCTGAAGGAGCCGGCGTACAGCTTCCAGGTCATGTGGCCAGCAGGACTAAGCCGCTTCTGGCAAACCAGAGCAGCGCACAGAGATGCCGTTTACCTTCCCGCCGGAGCGGTACCTCTTTATCTACTTGCACTTTGACGTGCTTTCGAACTGCTGGGTTGGCAGGAGCAGGGACCGAGCAACGGGAGCTCACCCCGTCGCAGGGATTCGAACCGCCGACCTTCTGATCAGCAAGTCCTAGGCCCACAGCGCCACCTGAGTCCTGCTTTATCCAATAGACCAGACCTTTTAGCAACTGCTAAATCTTACTCAAATGTGATGGTGGAAAAACCCCTCCCCAAAGGTTCTTTCCTTCAGGAAACTGAGGACAGATTCAGTACCTTCTGAAGTACAGTGGTACCTCTGGTTAAGAACATAATTCGTTCTGGAGGTCCGTTCTTAACCTGAAACTGTTCTTAACCTGAAGCACCACTTTAGCTAATGCGGCCTCCTGCTGCTGCCACAGCACCGCCACTGCGCGATTTCTGTTCTCATCCTGAAGCAAAGTTCTTAACCCGAGGTACTATTTCTGGGTTAGCTGAGTCTGTAACCTGAAGCGTCTGTAACCTGAGGTACCACTGTAGTGAATACACCATGGGTAACCTGAGGTACCACTGTAGTGAATACACATGACGAGGTGACCTGATTGGCTACTGCATGATCAGCTCTGAGTTTGATGGCTCGCATCCCTGGCCAAGTCTCCTCTGGTGGGTCTTCTCCTATTGCTGGTGGACCTCCTGAAACTTATGGGACATTTGGGAACAGTGACAGCATCAATCAGCACTACAACCCACACCGGAAGGCAATAGATACACTATTTTAATTTCCTCCCAATGTAGCACCGCAGGATATTAAAATGTTGGTCTAGGTAATCAGTGGCAGACTTGGGCACTATGGCGCCCTGTGCAATTTGGTCGCACGCCCCCAGGTCCTTGTGTTGCCTTCCCAAAGGCTGGTAGGAAGACACCAGGCTTGGGGTTCTGGAAGGTCCTACAGCCCTGCCACCTCCTTCCTAAAGCCGGGCAAGCGCTAACTAGGCTTTGGGAAGGAGGTGGGAGCACTGGCGGAGGAACGGGAGTGTGGAGCGAGCGGACTGCCCCAAGCACCACTGTTATGTACCGAGTTGAATAGGATCCAAAAGGCAGCAGTCTGATTGGTCCTAGAACAACAGGGTTCAGAATGCAGCAGTCTGATTGGTCCTAGAACAATAGGGTCCAGAATGCAGCAGTCTGATTGGTCCTAGAACAATAGGGTCCAGAATGCAGCAGTCTGATTGGTCCTAGAACAATAGGATCCAAAAGGCAGCAGTCTGATTGGTCCTAGAACAACAGGGTTCAGAATGCAGCAGTCTGATTGGTCCTAGAACAATAGGGTCCAGAATGCAGCAGTCTGATTGGTCCTAGAACAATAGGGTCCAGAATGCAGCAGTCTGATTGGTCCTAGAACAATAGGGTCCAGAATGCAGCAGTCTGATTGGTCCACAGGAGCCACCCAATCCAGCTCCAGGTGGAAGTGAATCCGCAACCTGATTGGCCTACAGGAGAATCCCGGAACTAGCCAGTCACGTGGGGCCCATTGTGAAAATAATGTATATAAAGCAGACATTCTGGGGGAACTTCCATTCCTCCTCACCACTATGAGCTGAATAAAGAGCATGAAATCCACTCTCAACTCTGAGTATATTTCAACCGCTATTCCGCTAGGGTGCCATCACGGCGCGCCCCGACATGCACTGCACACACACACACCCCGCACGGGCCAGGCGCCACGCACCCAGAATGCACACCTCGCCCCTGGGATGTGCACCACACGCCCCCACCTGCTCTCTGCCCCCGGTAGCAGAGCATGCAGCTTCACCACTGGGTGGGAGGGCTCTAGGACCCTGTCAGAGCCCTCACACCTCCTTCCCAAAGCCCAGCACCTTGCATACTGGGCTGTGAGATGGCGCTCCCTTGGCTCAATGCCCGATGCACTCTCATAGCTCTAAATATGTCCTGATGCCATTTTAAAGAAGAAGAGAAGAGTTTGGATCACTACATTCTCCTTTCCCTTCCTCCCCCACAACAAACACTCTGTGAGGTGAGTGGGGCTGAGAGACTTCAGAGAAGTGTGACTAGCCCAATGTCACCCAGCAGCTGCATGTGGAGGAGCGGAGACGCGAACCCGGTTCACCAGATTACGAGTCTACCGCTCTTAACCACTACACCACACTGGCTCAAGGAAGGGTCAATCGTAGGCCTTCCAAGATGCTGAGGCCCACGTAGCTGCCTGAGGGTGCTGTGTGGATGCACCAGCTCGTGACTATTGACTCCAGGCCACAACTTACAGCATCTTTGCTTGCTTTTCTGAGATTGGGAAACACTGCATATGTCCTTATGCTCGCAGAGCTGCTTCTCAGCTCCTTCCTTCCTTCCTTCCTCCCTTCCTTCCTTCCTTCCAGCACCAGCTCCCTGCAGCCCCAACCCCAGAACAGAATAACCTGAGGCTCAAGAGGCTACTGCAAATAACATAATGCCTCTTCCTCAGTGTCTCTGTGAAAGTGCTTTCCATTTACACATGCGAGTTTGGACCATAGGCAACTGTCTGATTGGTGGTAGTAAGCTGTAGATGGATTTCCCAAATAAAAAATGAAAAGTGAGATCAGCTCTCCACGCATATTTGTTGGTGAGGGAACTGATACTATGGAACAAGCCTATCGGCTTGAAAGCAGAATGTCTAGAAAAGTCAGTGGGTCAAGTAAGGTCCTTCTGAATGCCAGGATTGGCATGTGAAGCCCGTGTTGACCCCACAGTGATTTTTTTGACCTGTCCTCTGTGTTCTTTAGCTATTTGCTCAATAGCCCGGACTTTCCCCTCGTCAATTCTACAACAAGCCATAGTGGTCGTTGACTACACTTCCTGATCATAAATTTACACAACCAGATTTCTGGAAACAACAAAGGGAACTTTATACTAAGATACGACCCTTGTTAAACCCACCATTCAACCTGAGGTAGCAAAGAGGTCAAGTTCTTATAGGAAAGCTTACATCCTATGCTCCCATGCACTCCTTGATTCAGTGGCAATGGAAGTGTCTAAGCAAGTGCAGTTCAGCCCTATGTATACTTAGGTAAAGGTAAAGGGACCCCTGACCATTAGGTCCAGTTGCAAATGACTTGGGTTGCGGTGCTCATCTTGCTTTATTGGCCGAGGGAGCCGGCGTACAGCTTCCGGGTCATGTGGCCAGCATGACTAAGTCGCTTCTGACGAACTAGAGCAGCACACGGAAACACCGTTTACCTTCCTGCTGGAGCGGTACCTCTTTATCTACTTGCACTTTGACGTGCTTTTGAACTGCTAGGTTGGCAGGAGCAGGGACAGAGCAACGGGAGCTCACCCCATCACGGGGATTCGAACCGCCGACCTTCTGATCGGCAAGCCCTAGGCTCTGTGGTTTAACCCACAGTGCTACCTGTGTCTGTGTATGCTTACTCAGATGTGAATCCTATGGAGCTCAATGTGACTTGCTCCCTAGTGGCTAGTAAGTATGCTTAGAATTCCATATTTATTAAATGTACTGTGAAAACGCAACTTTTCTGAGTTACAGAAAAGACACACAGAGAGAATGCAACTGGAGGCATATTTAAATACAAAATAATTGTATTCTATACAGTAAAGTGGCCTAGCTATTGAAAATGAGACCGTGGCTACAGCTTGCATAGGGTGGCAATCATCCAGTTGGCAATCAGATTCAAACCTGCTCCCTAAATTGGCTTGCTCTGTTAATAAATGACAGAGAGGAGAGAAAAGGCAAGTTCAAATGATTAGGAGTAAATTTGCCTCGCCTGTTTCGTGTGCTGCGTGACAGTCTCATGTTTTTAAAAGAATCCCATCCCATGTAGGGCAAGGGAAGAGACACTGTATGGCCTGTCCATAAAATCTTGCACATGTATTTCCAAAACTGTCCCAGAGTGAAAAAGAAAGACATTGTAAAAGGTCGGTAAGGAAGCTGTACCCTACAGATGTTCTTGGGCTCCATTTCCCATCAACCTGAGCCAGCATGGCCAATAATCACAGATAATGGGAGCTATCATCCAGAAGTAACTGGAGGACCACAGGTTCCCCTGTTAAGTACTGAGTTGAATAGGATCCAAAAAGCAGCAGTCTGATTGGTCCTAGAACAATAGGATTCAGAATGCAGCAGTCTGATTGGTCCTAGAACAATAGGATTCAGAATGCAGCAGTCTGATTGGTCCGCAGGAGCCACCCAATCCAGCTCCAGGTGGAAGTGAATCCGCAACCTGATTGGCCTACAGGAGAATCCCAGAATTAGCAAATCACGTGCGACCCATTGTGTAAATAATGTATATAAAGCAGATATTTGGGGGGAACTTGATTCCTCACTACTATGAGCTGAATAAAGAGCATGAAATCCACACTCGACTCCAAGTATATTTCATCCCCCAATTCAGTATTTTTTAAGGGAATGTCTGCAGCTCTTTGGTAGAGCAAATGCATTGCATGCAAAAGGTCCCAGGTTCATATCCTGGCGTCTTCAGGGAGGGCTGTGAAAGACCCTGTTGAAGCCTTGGGTAATTGCTGTTAGTCAGTGTAGACCAGGAATGGGCAACTTTTTACGGGTGGGGAGATCTAGAAGGAGTTGTGAAAGCAAGCTTAAGGGAGAGCCATCGCTCAGTGAAAGAGATTGTGCATGTCTTCCAGAATTTTCCAGGTTTAGCCTCAAGCTTCTCCAGTTAAATAAGCATCAGGACTGTGGAAAAACTCCTGCCTGAAGTTATGTTGGCACTGGGCCCTTCAGACTGGTGGGTTGTCTTTTGTGGGTGTATTCTACAGCAGGGGTCAGCAAACTTTTTCAGTAGGGTCCACTGTCCCTCAGACCTTGTGGGGGGCTGGACTATATTTGGGGGGGGGAATGAACGAATTTCTCTGCCCCACAAATAACCCAGAGATGCATTTTAAATAAAAGCACACATTCTACTCATGTAAAAACATGCTGATTTCTGGACCGTCCGTGGGCCAGATTGAGAAGGCGATTGGGCCAGATCCGGCCCCCGGGCAATAAATGTGAGTGGGTGGGAACTCAGAACATCTGTGATATGAAAAATTACAGGATTTCAGCAGGAAGCTACTGGGCATGAGCTGCTTGAAAATGAAGCTATATGACCGCCAAAACCTTTTCAAGCAAGACCAGGTAAAATTGTTTGTGTATGCAACCACAGCTGCCAGGATGTTATTTGCCCAGAAGTGGAAAGAGGACACTGTCCCAACAAAGGAAGAATGGCAAGTAAAGTTAATGGACTATGCCAGGGGTCTGCAACCTTTAAGACAAAAAGAGCCACTTGGACCCATTTCCGAAGGAAAAAAAACTGGGAGCCGCAAAACTCGTCATTATAAAAATAACTTTTTTGTCACTTTTTAATTATTTCTTTGTTTGACCCCTCAGAATTACTCCTCCTCATAGAAATAAACGTTAAATTAACAAGTAACCTTTTTTTGTGTGTGTGTGTTCTTCACTCCCCTTCAAAACAGTGACCAGCGTACATGCCCCCTTTCAATGCAGTGACCAGCGTACATGCCCCTTACAATGTAGCAGGCGGGCGGGAAGGTGACGCCGGGACGCTGCGTGACTAACGCACGCACCGCCCCAATGCGACGTCACAGCCAGTACAGCGCCCGCCACAGTGGGGAGTGTCGGGGCGCACAATGCGCCTCCTCCCCTCACTAGCATCCGCCCCGGAGCCGCGGCAAAGGTGTAAAAGAGCCACATGTGGCTCCGGAGCCACGGGTTGCAGACCCCTGGACTACGCAGAAATGGCAAAACTTACGGGAAGATTAAGAAATCAAGAAGAAAGAACTTTCAAGGAAGAATAGGGGAGATACGGGGATTATTTTAAAAACATTGTAAACAATTAAACACAATAGAAGGATTAATTTAAAATCTAACAGTTAAAAGTGACTTTGGAAGAAATACGAAGAGTAATAAACAAAAGGACCTAAGGAAAAGATGCAGTTTAGCAAATGAGGTCCAGCGCCGAGGGCCTTCTGGCGGTTCCCTCATTGCGAGAAGCAAAGCTGCAGGGAACCAGGCAGAGGGCCTTCTCGGTAGTGGCGCCCACCCTGTGGAACACCCTCCCACCAGATGTCAAAGCGATAAACAACTACCTGACATTTAGAAGACATCTGAAGGCAACCCTGTTCAGGGAAGTTTTTACTGTGTGAGATTTTAATGTATTTTAAATCTCTGTTGGAAGCCGCCCAGAGTGGCTGGGGAAACCCAGCCAGATGGGCAGGGTACAAATAATAAATTATTATTATTATGCTTGTAAAGAGAACCAAGGAAGGGGAGGAGGGAAGTCTGAACAACTACAACTATGTATGTAATCATATTTGATAATTATTGGTGGCAATTTGAAAAACTGAAAACTGAAATGTATTAAAAGAAAGAAAATTTTTCAACCACAAACAATATTGGGATCAGTATCAAGTATAACTGCCCCAATATCATGAGTACAAACTATAAGGTTTTCGGCAAAGGCCCATTGCTAGCCTAGAAGCAATGCAGAAATATTTAAAAAGTAAAAAAGAAAAGCTATTTCATTATTAGTTGCCACAAAGACACCTTCCATAGGTGGGATAAAAAAGTCTAGAATCTACAATGCCAAGTGTTCTACACCTATGGATTTATTTTTTCATTCTTCTGGTTTCAGAATATATATTGTGAATTTTCTCGTCAGCCCATTTAAAATTAGTATGATCATGTATTACTGGAAGATTAGGTGCAGCTGTTTACTTTTTGAAATGGCTCTACATTTGAAAAGGGCAGGTGGAAAATTTCATGAGCTCCAAGACAGAAATGAAATGTTTGAACTGGTCACCTAAATATGAAGAAACAAATTCAAGAGCAGTCGGGGCTGGGATAGTTTCATCTTCTTGTAGAATGTGATACTTACAGCTTTCCATCTGCAGTTTACATGTCTGCGTATCCAGGGGATATTTTGACAGGTCCATGTTACACGCAACTGTGGTAGTGATTCTGCAAAAAGAGAAAGTGATGTGAAGGCATCGATGAGGAACAGCCTGTATTTTCCATAGCAGTCCACAGGTGGCAGGACGCGGGTGGCGCTGTGGGTAAAAGCCTCAGCGCCTAGGGCTTGCCGATCGAAAGGTCGGCGGTTTGAATCCCCGCGGCGGGGTGCGCTCCCGTTGCTCGGTCCCAGCGCCTGCCAACCTAGCAGTTCGAAAGCACCCCCGGGTGCAAGTAGATAAATAGGGACCGCTTACTGTCGGGAAAGTAAACGGTGTTTCCGTGTGCTGCGCTGGCTCGCCAGATGCGGCTTTGTCACGCTGGCCACGTGACCCAGAAGTGTCTGCGGACAGCGCTGGCCCCCGGCCTCTTGAGTGAGATGGGCGCACAACCCTAGAGTCTGTCAAGACTGGCCCGTACGGGCAGGGGTACCTTTTACCACAGGTGGCAATGTTTCTGCTTCAAAGAATAAATAACTGTTAAAACTAGCACTGAAGCTGCAGCCTGGACTTCCCTTTAGTTCAGATTGGCAACTCTGGATCATTCCACTTATGGAAACAGGATAATGTAAGACAGCCTTTGTGAACTTGGTGCTTCCCAGATGTTTCAACCTCCCTTCAGTCCTAGCCAGCAAGTCCAAAACATTTGGAGAGAACAAGGATTACAAAGGCTGCTGCAAGATTATGTGACATAATCTGCCTTGGCGTCCTCTGCTAGGCCAAAATGTACAAAAATATGTTGATCAGCAGAACAGCACAGAATTTGGACCAGGTTATGCCATGGAAGTGAGAGCTGGACCATAAGGAAGGCTGATCGCCGAAGAATTGATGCTTTTGAATTTTGGTGCTGGAGGAGACTCTTGAGAGTCCCATGGACTGCAAGAAGATCAAACCTATCCATTCTGAAGGAAATCAGCCCTGAGTGCTCACTGGAAGGACAGATCCTGAAGCTGAGGCTCCAATACTTTGGCCACCTCATGAGAAGAGAAGGCACCCTGGAAAAGACCCTGATGTTGGGAAAGATGGAGGGCACAAGGAGAAGGGGATGACAGAGGACGAGATGGTGGGACAGTGTTCTTGAAGCTACCAGCATGAGTTTGACCAAACTGCGGGAGGCAGTGGAAGACAGGAATGCCTGGCGTGCTCTGGTCCATGGGGTCATGAAGAGTCGGACACAACCAAACGATTAAACAACAACAACAACGCCAGTTTGAGCTGAATATTTGTGTGATGGCCATCATTCTGCAAAGAACATTCTCTCCTTTATTTAAGAAGCAAGTGACTACTAAAGATTGTAGGATGTAGACTCAAATTCACCCACATCAAGTGCTATTCCTGGATACATAAAAAGTTAAATAGCAAAAAAAAACACTAATTATATAACACTCAAACCACTTAACATGTATGTATAAGTAAAGGTAAAGGACCCCTGACCATTAGGTACAGTCGTGGCCGACTCTGGGGTTGCGGCGCTCATCTCGCTTTATTGGCCGAGGGAGCCGGCGTACAGCATGACTAACAGCATGGCGAACCAGAGCAGCACACAGAAACGCTGTTTACCTTCCCGCCGGAGCGGTCCCTATTTATCTACTTGCACTTGACATGCTTTCGAACTGCTAGGTTGGCAGGAGCAGGGACCGAGCAACGGGAGCTAACCCCGTCGCAGGGATTCGAACTGCTGACCTTCTGATCGGCAAGTCCTAGGCTCTGTGGTAATCCAGGCATGTCCAAAATCGGTTTAATCCAGCCCCTGTGGCAGTTTATTTCCTGGGGTAAACTCCCAAAAAAACCTAAACCTCAACAACTTAAATCCTAAAAAAAAGCTCAACAACTTCACTTCATCAAATCTGGTCCTCTTTGAAAAAAGTTTGGACACCCCTGCTTTAATCCTTACAAGAACAGCCCCTCTCCCGTTCTGTTTACTATCAAGCCCAGGGTTTCCCAACCTTTTAGGGCATGCCAGCACCTTTAGAAATCTAAGAAACTGTCACAAAACACCCATTTCACAGAAGAAAAAGTGATGATACACAGAACCCAGAAACAACAAAACACCAAATCAAAAAAATGCCGGCAAAAGGGGGGGAAACTGGTAAACCATGTGTCTCCCCACCCAAAACAAATGAAATGCCAAAACTTAAGCGGCAGGTCTTTGGGGGCACCAAGGGGAGTGTCTGAGGGTACTGTCTGAGGGTACATCACATTGGGGACCCCTGAGCTGGCCGGATGCAGAGTTCTGAAAGATGCAAAAACTTGCATGCTATTTTGTGGTATTTTTGGTTGGCCTAAAAAAGGCCGTGTTATAGATGTTCAGTTGTGTGCCTCATACATTCTTTCTATCCCATACTATTTTTCATTTAGGGGACACAGGTGGCGCTGTGGGTTAAACCACAGAGCCTAGGGCTCGCCAATCAGAAGGTCGGTGGTTCGAATCCCTGTGACAGGGTGAGCTCCTGTTGCTTGGTCCCTGCTCCTGCCAACCTAGCAGTTCGAAAACATCAAAGTGCAAGTAGATAACTAGGTACTGCTCCGGCGGGAAGGTAAACGGCATTTCCGTGCGCTGCTCTGGTTCGCCAGAAGTGGCTTAGTCATGCTGGCCACATGACCCAGAAGCTGTACGCTGGCTCCCTCGGCCAATAAAGCGAGATGAGTGCTGCAACCCCAGAGTTGGCCACCACTGGACCTAATGGTCAGGGGTCCCTTTACCTTTACCCTTTACTGTGTGCCTCATACATTCTTTTTATCCCATACTATTTGTCATTTAAAACAGCAGCCTCAATAGTTGTTTGATATTAGTCAGTAAGTTCTCTATTGCAACATGTCAGTGTGTTATTAAAAGCATGCGATACCTGTGATGAGTGTTTGAAGAAAGGAAGCTACATCTGTAGAAATAATGGAATAATGAAACAATGAATTATGAGAAATATGATGAAATATGCAACTGAGAAAACTATTTCCCCAGATATTCCTGACCCTCAGAATCTAATGGTGTCTCTTGGGCCTTGAATTCCTGACTGTTGCACCTGTCTGCAATCTTTCTGCTACTCAATGGTAACAAAGGGTAGCAAAACAGTAGGAGCACATGCAAGACTTACCGCAAAGCATACAAGACGGTGCCGTTAGAGAACAGCCGTATAAGCCGATTCTCTGCTGTGACCTCATGCAAGAAAGAATTCTTAGACTCCACAATATACGTGTCAGGAACCCACAGGTATTTCACCAGTCGGGCATCCAGAGTGAAACTTTTGTTCCCCTGAAAAACCAGGCGAGGATCTGTCCAGCGTTGTCGCAAATATATTGTCGCCGTGTAGTCCTGGAAAAGAAGGCAGCTCATGAGCAGGCATTCAGGACATTGCTGCATGGAAAAGGAAAACTCTCTAAGTTAGAGAGACTTTTGACAGGTGGAGTTCAACTGCCTTATCCGAAGGGTTTTCTGAGCATATGTTTATTGAATGTAGTCCCTCTGTCCTATAGGCATTTCTGAAATTTGCTCATCTTGATTCTTTTAGTTCTCCACACTGCTCTGTAACTTAGTACATTTTTTGCTGTTTTATAGTTAAGGTAAAGGTAAAGGACCCCTGACCATTAGGTCCAGTCGTGACCGACTCTGGGGTTGTGGCGCTCATCTCGCTTTATTGGCCAAGGGAGCTGGCGTACAGCTTCCGGGTCATGTGGCCAGCATGACTAAGCCGCTTCTGGCGAACCAGAGCAGCACACAGAAACGCCGTTTACCTTCCCGCCGGAGCGGTACCTATTTATCTACTTGCACTTTGACATGCTTTCGAACTGCCAGGTTGGCAGGAGCAGGGACCGAGCAACGGGAGCTCACCCCGTCGCGGGGATTCAAACCGCCGACCTTCTGATCGGCAAGTCCTACAGCGCCACAGCACCACCCGCATCCCTTTCCACCCGTGTCCCTTTATAGTTAATTGATGATGATGATGATGATAATAATAATAATAATAATAATTTATTTATACCCTGTCCATCTGGCTGGGTTTCCCCAGCCACTCTGGGCAGCTCCCAACAGAATGTTAAAAACTTCCCTAAACAAGGCTGCCTATAGATGGCTTCCAAAAGTCTGATAGTTGTTTATTTCCTTGACATCTGATGGGAGGGCGCCACTACCACAGGGCAGGCACCACTACCAAGAAGGCCCTCTGCCTAGTTCCCTGTAACTTCAGTTCTCACAGTGAGGGAACCACCAGAAGGCCCTTGGAGCTGGACCTCAGTGTCCGGGCAGAACAATGGAGGTGGAGACGCTCCTTCAGGTATACTGGGCCAAGGCCGTTAAGGGCTTTAAAGGTACAGTCTTCAAACTTTTCAGACCCAGAATCTATTTTTAACCCAAACACCCATCCATCTGGGGACCCATTTCTTAATCTTTTGCCATATATTTGCACGGTGGGAGTGTTCCTGTTGCCACCCAACTTGGATGAGGCCGCAACCCACCCACCCGTAGCTCCTTAACATAGCTTAAGTAGTTTAAATTCGCATCTGTTGCAGGTATGGTACTGTAGGTGTGTCTCTCGCCTGCCGCATTTGAACATCAGCCTTGTCCTCAGGTAATCATGGCAGGCAAAGTAGGATTCATTGCTCTCTGCATTCAGAATATCATGTTTCACTCTACTTCAGTGCTGGGTGAAAGGATTCCTTTTGTGTTGAGTGCATAGACTTTAACAAGCTTTGGAATGAAAGCTGTTAACCAAAAAAAGTCATCCCAAGACTTCATGTATATCATTTCTAGCTTTCAGATTTTATTCTCATGCTGTTAGGGGGGAAATTTCTCCACCTAAATGATTGAGATGGTGCACCATTATGCATTTCAAAGCAGTGAATTATTAATCTCAGCAATGAAGGTGAAAACCCCCGGGTCATTTGTAGTTCAATTATTTATCTAGCAAAAGAGTACATCTCTATAATGTTCTGCGTGAGACCTGAAAATGTGAGTGCTATAGTGATGAGAAGACTACTGTATGAAGATAATATTTGTTGATTAATAGCTTTGGGATACCTGGAAAGTTAGCTTCATGAAAGATTGGCTCAGCCTTGCAAAGACTTCCTATGGGTTCCAAACCCCAGTAGACAGCAGCTTTCAACGGAGTTCTGCATTTAAATGGATACTAAAAAGCTGCGGTGTTCTATAGACCAATGACTTCGGACACCTATTTGTCATTCTCATCTCAGAGGTGCCTTATTTTCAAAAGATGCCTGCAGTGTCTCAAGTCTGGGCTTCTTTGTTTGTTTATTTTAACACCTCTTTTGGCCAGAGCAGCCCACAAACAAAATACTATGACAACAATAAAAGGTAAAGGTACCCCTACCCGTACGGGCCAGTCGTGTCCGACTCTAGGGTTGTGCGCTCATCTCACTTAAGAGGCCGGGAGCCAGCGCTGTCCGCAGACACTTCCGGGTCACGTGGCCAGCGTGACGAAGCTGCTCTGGCGAGCCGGCACCAGCGCAGCACACGGAAACGCCGTTTACCTTCCCACTATAAAGCAGTACCTATTTATCTACTTGCACTTGGACGTGCTTTTGAACTGCTAGGTGGGCAGGAGCTGGGACCGAAGACGGGAGCTCACCCCACCGTGGGGATTCGAACCGCCAACCATGCGATTGGCAAGCCCTAGGCGCTGAGGTTTTACCCACAGCGCCACCCGCGTCCTATGACAACAATACAAGGAATTTAAAAGAAACAATCCATTTGCTAAAAACGGCATCGCCATAAACAGACACTGGGGATCCGGTAGCAGGGGCTAAAGGAGCATCCGCCCGGCAGGAGTTCCAGAAATTTGGTGCCACCACTGAAAAGACTCTGCTGCATGTACTCATCATCCCATATGGCAGTGGGTAGCAGGAACACAACCTCCAGAACTTAACAGGCAGGCAAAATCATATAGGAACAGGTGGTCCTTTTGATATGTCAAGGTCAAACTATGCAGGACTTTGAAATTTAACAACTACCACATTCAGCTTTGCTAGAGGTCCACAAATTATAGTTTTATTAAGAAGGCGGAAAACCTTTTCTCTAGCCACTTGCAGGATTTTATACACTTCTGAAGTGTAAACAGGTAGAGGGATCTTTTTTTTCATACGCGGTGGACTTGTAAGAAAGCGAGGGTATTTTGGGAAATGATATATGATGAGATGAAAAAGATGTTTAAAGTGATTATACCAAAAAACCAACAAACCCTGAAGCTTTTCTCTTAGGGATTATAGGGAAAGAAGTTCTTTTAAAAAAGATGATTAAGCTGATTAAGCTAGGATTCTTTATGCACAAAAATGGAAGGAAGAAGAAGTCCCCACCAAAGAAGAATAGATAAGCAAGTGTGGAATTGGCAAAGTTAATAGCCAAAATAAGAGAATCTAATGACATTTGTTTCATGGAAGAATGGAAGTCTTTTTCGGATTACTTAAAGAAATACTCCAGTATGATGAATTTGTGAGCAGGATTTGAACCATGAGTAACAGAAGGAATTGGAGATGATAGCATTGTTGTTACGGCATAAGAGAGGGAAAGTAGGGTGCAACAGAAGGAGATTTTATATGGATTTTATAAACTTCTATCATATTGCTTCTTACTCACCTTTTCGAAAAAGGTCCAAATACTGTAACCTTCCTTTACAGGTAAAAGGTAAAGGTAAAGGACCCCTGGATGGTTAAGTCCAGTCAAAGGTGACTATGGGGTTTAAGTGCTCATCTCGCTTTCAGGTTGAAGGAGCCGGCGTTTGACCACAGACACTTTTCCGGGTCATGTGGTCAGCATGACTAAACTGCTACTGGTGCAATGGGACACTGTGATGGAAACCAGAGTGCATGGAAATGCTGTTTACCTTCCCACCGCAGTGGTACCTATTTATCTACTTGCACTGGTGTGCTTTTGAACTGCTAGGTTGGCAGGAGCTGGGACAGAGCAATGGGAGCTCACCCCTTCACGCAGACTTGGAACTGCCGACCTCATGATCAGCAAGCATGAGAGGCTCGGTGGTTTAGACCAAAGTGCCACCGGCATCCACTTCCTGTAAGCAAAGAGGCCCTGTAATAGATGGATTGCCTACTTGCCTGCTCTTTGCCTTGCCTGCTGCTTCTCTGTCCGCATGCTGCTGCCCATTTCAGTGAGATGACCACTACACTCATGCTTCTGCTGACCACCTCACTAAGAGAAGAACATACAGGGCCCACCATCTGCTCCCAACTAAGCCCACCGCACTGAGAAAGAGATCGTGCTGCTTTTGGCAGCTTCCACAAGAGAAATAAATATTCTGCCCACATGCTACTGCCTGCCTGAGTGGAAGAGGAACAAAGACGAATGAATGCCTCTCCCCACAAGATGATGCTCCCTGCCTGAAGGACAGGGGCTGCCCAATGTGGCCCATGCTAGCCACCTGAGGGAGAAAAACTGGCCACTGTGATCTCATGCTGATGCTGCCTATTTCATAGACTGGCCACTGTGTTCTCACATGGATGTGTCCAACCAGAAGGAGAGACACAGGCCATTGTGATGTCATGCTGATGCTGAAGGAGAGAGAAACTGGCCAATGTACCAGCCCACAACTGCTGTCCACCTGACTAACAAGGAGACACTGCCTGGCACGCCAACACATTGCTCACCATGTTGATGAGAACTATGTCCTTTGTCCTTTGGACCAGACTGGGGTTTCTTAACTTGCTTTTACTCTCCTGTTCCTGCATATTAGGTTCCCTTACCAGAGGTCTATAATAACAAAAGGTAGGTAAAGGTAAAAGGGAAAGGACCCCTGGATGGTTAAGTCCAGTCAAAGGCGAATATGGAGTTGTGGCACTCATCTCACTTTCAGACTGAAGGAGCTGGCATTTGTCCACAGACAGCTTTCCGGATCACGTGGCCAGCATGACTTAACTGCTTCTGGTGCAATGGAACACTGTGACGGAAACCAGAGCGCATGGAAATGCTGTTTACCTTCCTGCCACAGCAGTACAGTGGTACCTCGGGTTAAGTATTTAATTCGTTGTGGAGGTCCGTTCTTAACCTGAAACTGTTCTTAACCTGAAGCACCACTTTAGCTAATGGGGCCTCCTGCTGCCACCGCACTGCTGGAGCACAATTTCTGTTCTCATCCTGAAGCAAAGTTCTTAACCTGAAGCACTATTTCTGGGTTAGCGGAGTCTGTAACCTGAAGCGTATGTAACCTGAAGCATATGTAACCTGAGGTACCACTGTACCTATTTATCTACTTGCACTGGCGTGCTTTGGAACTGCTAGGTTGGCAGGAGCTGGGACAGAGCAACAGGAGCTCAGCTCGTCATGGGGATTCGAACCACCAACCTTCCAATCAGCAAGCCCAAGTGGCTCAGGGTTTAGACCACAGTGCCACCCTTTCCCTATTTCCTTTATAGAGAAGTTGCTCCATGCCTTTGATCATTTTGGTTGCCCTTTCCTGAACCTTTTCCAACTCTACAAATCCGTTCTGGAGGCCTGTTCGCAACATGAAAAGAGCACAACCCACAGCAACGCGTCTGCATATGCGCGGGTTGCAATTCGCTGCTTCTGCGCATGCGCGTGACGTCATTTTGTGCTTCTGCGCATGCACGAGCGGCAAAACCCGGAAGTAACCCTTTCCGGTACTTCCAGGTCGCTGCGGGACGTAACCTGAAAGAACGTAACATGAAGAGGACGTAACATGAGGTATGACTGTATCAGAAACTGCATCTAGATTCCCACCGACTCCCTGCTCCCCGGAGCTTCCTTAATTCCTTTTATTCCCACTTCCAGGATTGTTTGCTTACCATATCACTCTCAGAAATGCTGGAAATGCTCGCAACGTCAAGGCTCATGGCTATTACCACAGGCTCTCCTGCAAAAGGAATGGAAAGGGAAGTTTAAATTGCAGAATCAGTCTAGGTGATACCAAGCTAAGGGTACCAATAGTCTAATGATTTAGCATAAGATGAGCAGGGCTAGGTTTTCAACATCGCAATATATCACCAACATCGCAATAAACATTGTGATATACCAATATATCATGATGTCTGAAATAGGGATGAAGCTATGACAGGGCGTTGGCTGGCTTCATGGTTTTTCCTGCATCGTGATTTGGGCCAGCGTCTGCTCTTGTGATTCGCTGCCTCTTCCAGGAGAATTGAGCTGGCAGAGTTAACTGGGGCTGCAGGAATCGAGAGACGGCCATGTTTTCCCCAACATTGTGATTTTTGCATAGCGCACTGACACGTCATGATTTGTGATATATTGTCAGGTCAAAAATTATGAAACCGATATCACGATATGGACTTCTAACCGGTTTGGGACGATAGGTTGATACATCGGCCAGTCCTAAAGATGAGCTTATTGCTTTGCTATGACTCAGTTCCCACTCTGGAAGATAGTTTTAAATGCATTCCTAAGCAGGCTGTGACATCTTTGCCTACTGAGCAAAAGACAGAAAGCATGAATGAGGACAAAATCAAAATTCCCGTTGATCTGCTAGGACATTTGGGAAGAGTGGCATTTATTATCACACTGGGCTTACGCATTAAGAATATAGCCCTCTGAGGCTGTAATTCTATACATGCTTACCTGGGAGTAAATTCCATTAACATCCTTGGGGCTTGGGGCTACTGCTGAGTAGACATGCCTAGGCCTTGCGGTACAAAGCTCCTTAACTGAGGGGTGTTGGCGGGGGAGACCAGGATGTGGATAGCTCATTAATTCTGAAGCAGATGCTTTCAAAAATGTGAATGACCAGCTCCCGTGTTCTACAGGAATGCGAGCCATTGAAAGAATGAAGACGACCAAGTTGAAGAAGGTCAGATTCATTATAAAATGAAGGTTACCTAAACAGTACATGGCCTTGTCATGAAGAAGCGGAATGACTGTTATGATTAATAAGCATCTTGAGGTCTTCTTATGAGATGTCAACAATGACATCTGATGTGTTGACTCCATAGACAGGAGATTATAATGGTGTGAGAAAAAGAGATTGGACAAAAAATCCTAGTTATAATATAGACTTCTTCCTGTTCACTCACTTAGAACTTAGAAAGTATTTGCTTATGCCCAGACATAACCAGGCAATTCCTCTATTTTTCTTTGCTGTAAGTTGCTTGGAGACCTTTGGGTGACAACCAACTAATAAATAAAAAAGCTAAAAATATATACTAGCCCTTTCAATGTTGCCCCATCAGGTGGGAGTTATTCCTTCTGCTGCCTTGACCACCATTCAAATGAACTAATCACTATAATTGTTTATCTGTCTGTAAAGATATCTATATTCTTAAATTTTTAAATTATTATGCTTTTCCATTATTATTACTTTTTGGTCCAGTTCTTCTCTTTCTCCCATTCCAGCTCTTTTTATCTGCTGCATTGAAAGACTGTTTAAAGGGCCATTAGGCTGTAGTCATTTACAGACATATACCTGGCAAAAAGTGCCGTTAAACTCAATGGAGCTTACAGAGCAACCCCAAGTACAGGGATTTGCTGTGTTTAATACCTGCCAGTGATATGGCAACATAAAAACCACTGCATCTCAAACATTTTGTTAGCTTTTTCTGAATTCTTGGGGGAAAGTGGGATATTAAAATTACTACATAAATAAATCTGGTCCCAACATTTCAAGCTGCTTACATTGCTCTAAGGCTGCTAAGGTCATATTTATTATTGCTAGGGTAGGAGGTGTCTACTATTAGGAGTACGCAAAGTACAGAAAATGTTTAGCAATAATAAGAATAATACACTAAATTGCACTGTGGAAGAAGGAACATACCAGGCTTTGTGCAATGTTGGGCTATGCATGTTTACTCATAAGTAAGGCCTAATGTGTTTGTGAGGCTTACTTCCTATTAAATTTTATATATATATATATATATATATATTCATGTATTTCCCATTTTTCCATTTTCACATCATGTTTCCTCCACATAGAATATTTATGTATGGACTTCCCAACCTAGCCTCCTACATCTCCATTTATCCACCTTTCTTTCATCCCTTTTACTCCTTAATTATAGTTGACTGCTGCTCATGTGATTACTCCTCCTTGTAATTTAATTGCAGTATCATATTTTCTTAGGTACTCCCCAAAGCTTTCCCATTCATCCTTTCATCCAGATTTCTTATGTTGGCTGTCATATTGGCAAGTTCTGCAAATTCTGTCAATTTATATAGCCACTGTTCCTTAGTTTCACTTTCTTTCCAACATCTAGTGTACGGCTATAGAGAAATAAGTTGCATGCCTTCATGGGGATCTCATCTTCAGTTACACCTAGTAGGAAGGCTTCAGACTCCCTAGTAAATGAACAATGGAACAGGTGAGGGTATTGGGTAGGGTTAGCCTGCAGAAAAGATGACAGAGGTGATGCGATGTTGTTGTTTAGTCGTTTAGTTGTGTCCAACTCTTCGTGACCCCATGGACCAGAGCACGCCAGGCACTTCTGTCCTCCACTGCCTCCCGCAGTTTGGTCAAACTCATGCTGGTAGCTTCGAAGACACTATCCAACCATCTCGTCCTCTGTCATCCCCTTCTCCTTGTGCCCTCCATCTTTCCCAACATCAGGGTCTTTTCAGGGAGTCTTCTCTTCTCATGAGGTGGCTAAAGTATTAGAGCCTCAGCTTCAGGACCTGTCCTTCCAGTGAGCACTCAAGGCTGATTTCCTTCAGAATGGATAGGTTTGATCTTCTTGCAGTCCATGGGACTCTCAAGAGTCTCCTCCAGCACCATAATTCAAAAGCACCGATTCTTCGTCGATCAGCCTTCTTTATGGTCCAGCTCTCACTTCCATACATCACTACTGGGAAAACCATAGCTTTAACTATATGGGCCTTTGTTGGCAAGGTGATGTCTCTGCTTTTTAAGATGCTGTCTAGGTGATGCGATAGCTGTCTTCAAATATCTAAAGGGTTGTCACACAGAAGATGGAGCAAGTTTGTTTTCTACTGCTCTGGATGGAAGGATCAACACACATTTTGAAACAGGGCAGCTAGCCATGGTTAACACTGATATAAGATATCTGATATCTATTTTATCGGGGGGTAGTTGATTCCTCAAAGAGAGTTGATGTTCCCTCACACTTGACCATCATCCCATAAGGATGACAGCTGGATTCTTCTGAGTCTGGAGTGGGGAACATTTTTCCGCCTGAGGGCCACATTCTGTCATTCTTGGGGCCATATGGTGGTTCTGGGTGGGGCCCAAAATAAAAAGTAGGTGGGCCAGTTAATGGGATTCTTATCTTTGTACAGCCAAACACTGCAGCCAAACAAGAGTCAGCGCATTCCGTGCACACACATCTCTACATCCAGATGATGCACATTAACACAAGGATGCATTCTGGCCCGGCAAAAGCACTTGTTGAAGCTACAGAACAGGAACAGTGAAGGCCAGGGTCTAGCGAGAGCCCCATGACTTGACAGAGACCTTAAAGGCTGCATTTGACCACAGAGCCGGTGCTTCCCGCTGCCACTCTAAGTCAAGAGCTGATTTAATCATTAATAACAGTGTTTCCTCAAACCAGGGTCTCCATTTGTCGTTGGACTACAGCTTCCATCATCCCTAGCTAGCAGAACCAGTAGTCAGGGATGATGGGAGTTGTAGTCAACAACAGCTGGAGACCCAACACAGATTTCGAAAGAAATTGTGATACAATCGCCTTATGCCAAAATCTCCGTACAGATAGAAACTGAGAACTGCTCTATATTTGTTATGTACTGAGTTGAATAGGATCCAAAATGAAGCAGTCTGATTGGTCCTAGAACAACAGGATTCAGAATGCAGCAGTCTGATTGGTCCTAGAACAATAGGATCCAGAATGCAGCAGTCTGATTGGTCCACAGGAGCCACCCAATCCAGCTCCAGGTGGAAGTGAATCCGCAACCTGATTGGCCTACAGGAGAATCCCGGAATTAGCCAATCATGTGGGGCCCATTGTGTAAATAATGTATATAAAGCAGACATTCTTCCTCAACACTGGAATTAGGGTAAAGGCAACTGATCTTAAGTTAATAAAAGGATTGGGGATAGGCAAGGGTCTCTAAATTCAGCTCAAACAGGGGCATAAAGACAAAATTATAAAGACCAATAAATTATTTCCTCTCTGCAACGCTGAAAGACTTTGGCAGGTCCTACAAAACTATAAAAGATGCTGATGATGTCATACCACCAAATTTTGGCCTGAGATATCTGTTGTATCCCCGGGTGAGGTTCCCGAATCCAGGGAGGGATGTTGAGGCTCGGCTATCTGACGTGTCAGCATAATGACCCAAAATGCACTTTCTGAAAACGAAAAGTAAGAAATGTTGAATGTGGCAGTGGCTACTCATCTGTTACGCAGCTGCAGCCTTCCTCTTCTCATCGCATCCAACACTCATAAACCAAACAGAATCTTCATATTGCATTTATGCAGCATTTAAATACTAAACGCCTGCTTGTGGTTCTGTGTGAGAAGGTAGTCGGTGTCTAATTGTCACTGGATTAAAAACAAGGGCTTGCCTACTCTCCCACATTCCTCAGATGAAAATAGGGACCTTTTTCACTCCCCACCAACAGCCCCCCACTAGGCAGGATTTAATTATCAGTCAAGAATAATTTTACAGTGCAAAGCGGGGGCGGGGGGGAGGAACCAAAAGAAACACTAAATACTTGAATATTTTAGACAGCAAGTATGAGATAATCTGCTAAGTATGAGCCAAAGGAAGAGGCGCTCCCTGTGTCAGGTATAAATCATCAGCCACTTTCTGCCTCATCTCTAGAGGCTGGGAACATGGGCGCAAAGCCATGTGGCAGGATTTTTTCACTATTAAAAAAAAAAGGCATGTAGAACACTGAACATTGTTTCTGTTGCTGCTCCAGATAATTGCTAAACAACAAATAAGTGGCTATTATCGTATAATCAACAGGTACCAGGTAAGGAAAGCTATAACTTTAACTGGAACAGAACTGCAGTCGCCAAATTACTGGCTAGTGTTGCTACAACTGGAAGAAAAACCATGAAGCGGTCTGCCAAGACCCACAGCAATTTTCAAGTGGTCCGTGATATGGAGGGGGAAAACCACTCATCTAAGGTGGCGCTGTGGGTTAAACCACCGAGCCTAGGACTTGCCGATCAGAAGGTCGGTGGTTCGAATCCCTGCGACGGGGTGAGCTCCCATTGCTCGGTCCCTGCTCCTGCCCACCTAGTAGTTCGAAAGCACCTCAAAGTGCAAGTAGATAAATAGGTACCGCTCCAGCGGGAAGGTAAATGGTGTTTCCGTGCGCTGCTCTGGTTCGCCAGAAGTGGCTTAGTCATGCTGGCCACATGACCCGGAAGCTGTATGCCGGCTCCCTCGGCCAATAAAGCGAGATGAGCGCCGCAACCCCAGAGTCAGTCACGACTGGACCTAATGGTCAGGGGTCCCTTTACCTTTACTTAGCATCTTAACTGCATAGCTCTTGCTGTTTGATGAAGACATGCCTCTTTATCCTGGCCTTTAACAGTTAAATTATTTTGTTTTGTGAGACCCACCAGGAGGGGGAAGTCCGCAGCAAAGTCACTACTCTTTCTGTATGGTTCCATATGGGATTCCAGCTATGATTTCCACCCCAATTAGAAGTTTTTGGGGGAAATCTGAGATGGGGATAATTAATTGAAATGGAATTGGTTTGCTGCTACTACTGGGCAAGACATTATTGGAACACGTTAATTGGAGGACATGTGGATGGGGTACAAATTAATACAATAATGTATTCGGGGTGATTTTAGTTGGGAAGTGAAATTAATTCGCTAGCCTTCTGTGAAATATACATTCTAGTAATTATTTTCTAAATTTGCATCTCTCTCTCATTCATATATATATATATATATAGTGTGTGTATGTCTGTGTGTAATATATATATATATATATATATATATATATATATATATATATACTGTATATATATACACACACACACACAGTGGTACCTCAGGTTAAGTACTTAATTCGTTCCAGAGGTCCGTTCTTAACCTGAAACTGTTCTTAACTTGAAGCACCACTTTAGCTAATGGGGCCTCCTGCTGCCGCTGCACTGCCAGAGCACGATTTCTGTTCTCATCCTGAAGCAAAGTTCTTAACCTGAGGTAATATTTCTGGGTTACTGGAGTCTGTAACCTGAAGCGCATGTAACCTGAGGTACCAATCTCTCTCTCTCTCTCTCTCTCTCTCTCTCTGTGTGTGTGTGTAATATATATATATATATATATATATGCGCAAATATGTATTTTTTTTCCTTTTCATCATATCCTCTTTTTTAAAAAAAGAATTGGACACTTTAGAAAGCCTATCTAAATTCCCGTCTCAGATTTTTATCTCATGCAATAGCCCCAGAAAACTATCTGGATGCTTCTATACTGGAGAACCTTCCCATCCCCAGCCCCTAGCCCAAGGAGCCAAGCCTTATTTTCTTGCATAAACGGATTAGCTGTGCGGCAGATATTCTTAAATATTTCAGCTTACCCTCCACACACAAGAAAAAGACAGACATGGATGGAGAAGTAACAACTGCAGCCCATTTGTGAAGATTATTTTCACCACTGGCTAAGATGGCTCACTTGTCAATGATCTGCAAAGCAAAGCAGATAAGTATTTCACCTGTATAAGCAGGGATGAATCAATCAGTATATTTTCATATCAGCGTCACATGATCAGTCACATATCTGTTTCTGCCCATTTCTGCACCAACCAGCAATTTTTTTTAAGCCCACACAAAAGTTCACATTTAAATGTGTATTTAAAAATTTATTTTAAATTCATCTTCTTTTTTTAAAAAAATGACAAATAACAAAGTGCCTAGATCTATATCAGATCATTTAGGAGATATGAAAGAGAGAGAGTCCACACATTAGCTCTGGAGGTGCAAATCAGGTCAAGTCAATAGGTGTTGAAATTCAAAACGCTCAAATTCCTCAAGCAAACCTCTAGAAGCCCAACTTTGTCTCATAAAACAAACCACCCTAAAAAAATTAATACACACAGTTTAAAAAAAACACCACACCCTGTTTACAGCCATACATTCAGTGCTGAGCATTGTTAGGAGACGCCTCACAGAGCTACAATTCCCAACAAACTACAATTCCCAGAATTCTTTGGGGAAACGAGAAGGGAGTGACAGGCCTGCGAAGATTAATGAGCAGACGCTAAGATTGTTTATATGGAAGTGATGAAATGCGTCTGCTGTCTGAATAAGACTCTTGGATGAATGGGAAAACCCACACAGGATTATAAAAATGCTTGTTTTCAACACGCTTGTGGAGACTATCAGAGGTCACAATGTAAAGAAAGGTAAAATATACGAAAACAACAAGAAGAGATGAGGAAAACAACAAAGAAGGAATGGATAGAATTGTGAACATTATTTGGACAGAATTGTGAACATCAAAGCAGCAGCAATAAGATGACTGGATCCCTTTCAGAGCTCGAAACATGGGTACCCCCAACAAAAATTTAAAATTTGGCTCTGTAATTTGGAATTAATGTGATTTGATTGGTTTGTTAATAAAATATATATATATAAAAAAGAAGAATTCTTTGGGGAAAGCCATGACTATTAACATGAATTTATATCTCCTCGCAGACACAGATAAGTATGTGACCTGGCGTGTAGCACTCTTTGCAGCTGCCGCTGGGAAAATTAGAGCAAATTATATAGCCAAGGTAGCCACCAACTGTAAAGGAGATGAATTTATTTGACCCTATCTACATCAAGCTATATTCTATCTTCGTCACCAAACTCCGAGTATAATTGCACGCTGTATTAATTGACATTGTTTTTTGATATATTAGTGGCCATGTGATGATTTTAGCTTATGAATTTTATTGTTTAATGTCTTGATTTGTATATTGGGGTGCAGTGGTACCTCTGGTTAAGTACTTAATTGGTTCCGGAGTTCTGTTCTTAACCAGGAACTGTTCTTAACCTGAAGCACCACTTTAGCTAATGGGGCCTCCTGCTGCCGCCGGTCCGCCAGAGCCCGATTTCTGTTCTTATCCTGAAGCAAAGTTCTTAACCGGAAGCACTATTTCTGGGTTAGCGGAGTGTGTAACCTAAAGCGTATGTAACCCAAGGTACCACTGTACTTTTATAGCTCTGTTTACAGTACAGTGGTGCCTCGCAAGACGAAATTAATCCGTTCCGCAAGAGTCTTCGTCTAGCGGTTTTTTCGTCTTGCGAAGCAAGCCCATTGACGGATTAGCGCTATTAGCGCTATCAGCTGTTTAGCGGCTATTAAAGGCTTAAAGGCTTAGGGATTAGCTGCTAAAAGGCTATTAATGGCTATTAGAGGAGTAGCAGAGTAGATAAAGGGGGGTAAAAGCGAAAATAAATTCTAATGACTCGCAAGGTATTTTCGTCTTGCGAAGCAAGCCCATAGGGGAATTCGTCCTGCGAAGCAACTTCAAAACGGAAAACCCTTTCGTCTAGCGGTTTTTCCGTCTTGCGAGGCATTCGTCTTGCGGGGCACCACTGTACGTAATGTTTTGATAATATAAATGTTTTAAGTCTTTTGTATCAATCCAGTATATTTTCTTTTAATTGTTGAATGATTCTGTGTGCATTGCGGCAGCCTTTGGCTATGTGCAATAAAACTGACTGACTGACTGACTGGCCATGACTATTAAAGTGATATAAGAGTGCTTTACATGTATGGAATGGATGCTGTTGGCATCCGTCTGTCTTGAGAGACAATGGAGTGCACCTCCAGGGGTGAAGTAAAAACACTGTGCTAGCAGCTCCCTGGGGCGCAAGCCTGGGCAGTGTGTATGGAGGTCCTGGGTTGCCTAGATGACAAGCCCCCGCCCCCAACCTCTGGGCCAAAAAAACCAGAGCAATACATTTAGCACTAGCTTGGCTGCAGGAGTTGCAGGAAGGAGGTGTAAAAATAAAGCCATCCACCCAGTCTCAATTTGTGTAGGGTTGACTCCTTAGCCCAGGGGTCAGCAAACTTTTTCAGCAGGGGGCCGGTCCACTGTCCCTCAGACCTTGTGGGGGGCCGGACTATATTTTCTTTGGGGGGGGTGGTGAACGAATTCCTATGCCCCACAAATAACCCAGAGATGCGTTTTAAATAAAAGCACACATTCTACTCATGTAAAAACACCAGACAGGCCCCACAAATAACCCAGAGATGCATTTGAAATAAAAGGACACATTCTACTCATGTAAAAACATGCTGATTCCCGGATCGTCCACAGGCCAGATTTAGAAGGCGGTTGGGCCAGATCCGGCCCCCGGGCCTTAAGTTTGCCTACCCACGCCTTAGGCTATTCTTCTCCTGAACGGATGTAACACCTGTCCAAACAGAGGAACATTATACAGTGGTACCTCAGGTTACATACGCTTCAGGTTACATACGCTTCAGGTTACAGACTCTGCTAACCCAGAAATAGTGCTTCAGGTTAAGAACTTTGCTTCAGGATAAGAACAGAAATCATGCTCCGGAGGCGCGGTAGCAGCGGGAGGCCCCATTAGCTAAAGTGGTGCTTCAGGTTAAGAACAGTTTCAGGTTAAGTACGGACCTCCGGAACGAATTAAGTACTTAACCCGAGGTACCACTGTATGTCTCACTAAATAGGCTTATAATACTTGTTCAATACTTGGAAGCAAGTATTGGTGTCGCCACACTGCATTGCTTCATTCTGATGGGTATGGTTGTTTGGAAGGGAAGTGGGAATGTGCTATATTTTGAAGGGCTTTCGCTGACTTTCCTGGGAGTGGGCATGCCGCTGACTTCAAAGTCTGAAGTTACACAGGGCTGCGCTCACCAAAGCATGAACTGGCGGGGCAGTTAGCTTTCATCTAATGCCACCATTCTGTGCTGCCCACTGTATTATTGCTCACCAAAGCCAAACAATGAACGGCATTCGCTCAGTTGAAACACTCTCAGTGGTGCTCAAAATGTGTGCTGGGGAGCTCTGGAGTTCCTTAGAAGCTCAAGACTTCTTCCATAAGAAGATGTTTAATGATAGACATGCTCGCCTGAAAGACACCCCTGTTACGTACTGAAGTTCTCACCCTGGGCCAGCAGGGGGAATACTGTAGATAGTTTTCACTCAGGTCCACATATGCAAATAAGGGATTGAAAGTGACGTTCAGTGATGGGACAGTTACAGAAAGTGGTTACTGTTGCGTTCTAGTGGAGCTCTATATAAGCAGGCTGGCTGAACCCTTCAGTTCAGTTCTGTTCTGGCCTGTGAATAAACAAGAGCTGTTTGAAGAATCGTTGTGTCATCTGATATGTTCACCCACAACTTAACAACCCCTGTCCTTGCAAAGTCATTGAGGGCATATAGAATGTGTTTTAAGTTCATGTAGGATGACACTGACATCAAGCAGGCATTTTTTCAGTAAAGACATGGACTGAAGCTAAGCAGTACAGTGGTACCTCGGGTTAAGTACTTAATTCGTTCCGGAGGTCCGTTCTTAACCTGAAACTGTTCTTAACCTGAAGCACCACTTTAGCTAATGGGGCCTCCTGCTGCCACCGCTCCGCCGGAGCACAATTTCTGTTCTCATCCTGAAGCAAAGTTCTTAACCCGAGGTAATATTTCTGGGTTAGTGGAGTCTGTAACCTGAAGCGAATGTAACCCGAGGTACCACTGTATCTCGATCAAACTTTTTCAGCAGGGGGCTGGTCCACTGTCCCTCAGACCTTGTGGGGGCCGGACTATATATTTTTGGGGGGGGGATGAACGAATTCCTATGCCCCACAAATATCCCATCAATGCATTTTAAATAAAAGGGCACATCCTACTCGTGCAAAAACATGCTGATTCCTGGACCATCCGTGGGCTGGATTTAGAAGGCGATTGGGCCGGATCTGGCCCCCAGGCCTTAGTTTGCCTACCCATGGTCTGGATGTATGATTGTCTGGGAATCCCATATATGCCAACTTGGGGTTCATGATGGAAGAATATGACATCAGATCTCCTTCTCCAACACTGGACACCCAATATATCCTAAGGCTCTGGAACTCCATTCTAGAGGCCATTGGATTGCAGTCTAAGGCTGCTTCCAGATTGCTGTTATTTCATGGGTGGGAATCAACTGCCTACTGGCAAATTCGGGGTGTGCATTTGAAGGGGAAGCTGACCACCTGGACCCATGTCAGTATAGATTCAGGTCCCACATCTGGAACAGAAACTGCTGTGTCCATTCCAGTGGAGAATCTCCACCAAGGTGTGACCCCCCCAGATTCTTTAGGAGCTCTCAATCAGTTGCATTCAGAACCAATGGTCGTGGTATACTTCTGAGCCAGCCAGAGGCGGCGGCCAGGAGCGTGGTGTTACGTTGGCTTTGTTCCCACTTGGCAGCGAGACTGAATAAGATTTCTTCTCCACCCCGTGGAACTTGTTCTGCGGGATTCTATAAAGCTGAGGTGCATCTCCCCTGTTCTACCTGAAAGACCACCTGATTTTAGGCTGCATTTTTCTCTTCACGTATATTGCTTTTATATTGTACGTGGTGTATACCACTCAGAGATTTCTGGGAAAATATCAAGCGCTTTCTTTTCTTTAAAGAAAATAAAATGTTTAGCTTTGAGAAACTACACTGAGTTTCATTGTCATCAATACACCTATGTGGAGATGCCCTGTGAAATGTGGAGAGCCAGTGTGGTGCAGTGGTTAAGAGCGGTAGACTCGTAATCTGGTGAACTGGGTTCGTGTCTTCGCTCCTCCACATGCAGCTGCTGGGTTACCTTGGGCTAGTCACACTTCTCTGAAGTCTCTCAGCCCCACTCACCTCACAGAGTGTTTGTTGTGGGGGAGGAAGGGAAAGGAGAATGTTAGCCGCTTTGAGACTCCTTCGGGTAGTGATAAAGCGGGATATCAAATCCAAACTACTACTGTGAAATAAGTCTGCTGGACATCATTGTAAAGGTAAAGGGACCCCTGACCATTAGGTCCAGTCGTGGCTGACTATGGGGTTGCGGCTCTCATCTCGCTTTACTGGCCGAGGGAGCCGGTGTACAGCTTCCGGGTCATGTGGCCAGCATGACTAAGCTGCTTCTGGCGAGCCAGAGCAGCACACAGCAATGCCATTTACCTTCCCGCTGGAGCGGTACCTATTTATCTACTTGCACTTTGAGGTGCTTTCGAACTGCTAGGTTGGCAGGAGCAGGGACCGAGCAACGGGAGCTCACTCCGTCGTGGGGATTCAAACTGCTGACCTTCTAATAAAAAGCATAATTTTTTTAAAAAAAGAGATGCATTTTAAATAAAAGGACACATTCTACTCATGTAAAAACAGGCTGATTCCCGGACCGTCCGCGGGCCGGATTGAGAAGGCCATTGGGCCGCATCCGGCCCCCGGGCCTTAAGTTGCCTACCTCTGCCTTAACCAGTCAGCTTTGGCATGAGTCAAATGCCAAGTGAACTCTGGTCATCTCTCTTTCGTGTGCCCTTTACCTCACATCTTCTGCAAAGCAGGGGATCTGTGGCAGTGAAAAATAATGCCCAGATAAAAGAACCATCATGAAAAATACCAACCTATCCATCTCTAGCCATGATGAATCTGTAATAATAAAAATGTGATCTCATCTTGAATCAAGGCATAGATGACAAAGATTCCTCATTGGGCCAGCATTAGACACCAGGAACTGAATTAGATCTCAGTGCCAAAACATCTGAAGACAACATTAACCTTACCTCCATCACCACATTGGATTTCCCTGCCCTGTGTACCTTCCATGATCCCAGCTGCACCCTTCCCATTCAGCTAACAAGAAGAAGGAACTACGGCACACTTTAGTAAAAAATTAATTCAGAACATTGTGCCCATGGAAAGCCCTTCAAGAAATGGGCATTAAGCTGTTTTCCATGGTATAACTCGCTTCCTGCCCCAACCCCGCAAAAACGGTATGCCTCTATTAAACTACCAAAGAAAAGATAAGGAGCAGGAGGAAAAAGGATTGTCAGCATTTACTTACATTTAGTATATTATCCGTCACAAAATGACCAGTGCTGGCTCCCGGTTTTGTTGGCACGAAACCAAAGCGGCAGACACTAACAGTTGAAGCCTGTGCGTGCAAATAAGTGAAAGTTAGAAGCTGTATAAGTCGATCCACTTGTCAAGGTGTTACACAAGCCGAGTTCCCTCAATGAAAGTCTGAGAGACTCACCGTCCGGAGTCAACATTCATTCAGCTGCAACTAATAATCCTGCCTGAGATCAATCATGCTGGGCGTCTGTTCTGGGGCTGTGATTTTTCACTGAGTCAAGTGAACGTGTTTTCTCAGCTGACCTCTGCAGGTAGAAATCCCCTCTCCTCCCACAGACACAAACTGCAGGTAAATCCTCCGTGGGCTTTCCCAGGACTTTACCTGTAATGTGATTTGCATGGCCCGTCCCCCTCAGCCGTTGTCCCAACCCAACCCATGCCATCATTTATGTTCCAGCATTTTCAGTGAGACCATTTTTCCCCAGTTAGATCATCACAAACTGTACCTACTGCATGCACACAGATGTAAGTTCCATTTAAGTTACGTTCCGAGGCATGGAAATGGCCCTTCTCTCATATATATATATATATATATATATATATATATATGAAAAACTGGTAGAGATGTAATAAAAGATGTGGCTGATTAATCAAAACAACATAGTTCCCACTAGGATGCAGGCCCCAGAGAATAAGGGACATAAGTGAAAAAAGATATAAATGCAGTCTTTTGTCCCAAATAAATATTTATGCCTTCTCATTAATGATTTTAATTCTTTCTTTTTTGTGCATTCATCCTCACTTAACTGGTTTCAACAAGCTGAATTTTATTGTTTCGGAACCTGGATGCCAGGGCATAAGTGCAATCAATTAATCAATTAATCAAAGCTGCCTCTCAAAATAATTTATTTAATTTTATAAATACTTTAAAAATCACAACCTATATCAATTGCATCATTACAGCACACTCTCTTTTGGAGTGGGGTTTACATTAAACGTACAATTTCTAATGAAAGAATGACCTGCTTAAAAAAAAAAAAACGACTTACAATGTCTCATGTGCAGTTTCCTCGCCACCCATCATTCTCCAGCAGGCAGGCCTACCAGAAGGGAGAGGGAAAGGTGGCGAGGAAGCTGGTGTGGTGTGAAGGCACCAGCGAAGCCAATCTGGCCCTCCTGCTGGCGTGTTTGCCCTGCAACAGCCTCCCTGCTGCCTCACCCCTCTCAGTGAGCAACAGTGACCCCATAGCTGTCAACTTACAGATTTGAAAATAAGTGACCAGCAGCCTCGAAAATAAGGGATCAGCAGCCAAAATAAGGGATCAGCGGCCTCACCTGTCCCAGGAACTCCTGTCTTCCACTGCCTTCTGCAGTTTGGTCAAACTCATGCTGACATCTGAAGTTTTAATAAAGTTGAGGCCAATTTTAATCCCATAACACAGTGTTGTGTGTCTTTATTCCACACCGGAGCCGGCCTGGGGTTGTGGAGGTCTCTGCCTGTCCATGCAATGAGAGCCATGCTATGTCTGGCTGTGCTTAAATAATTAAACCCTTTATAGGCAATAAGTTGGAACATGGGGTGGTCAAAAGTGCTCTTTTTCCATTTGCATGGAAAATTGAACTATTACGAGACTTGCTGGTAGCGTGTTAACTTCCTGGCAAATTCAGTTTAATACACCAGCATTTGTCACATTCTGGGGACTTGAGACTCCCTTCTGAAGTTACCCCACCCCACTTCCCAAGCAAACACAGGGATGGCTCCAGGTTTGTAGAGACTCTGGGCAAAGTGTCCTCCCATGTGGGCCTTGCACCATACATACTGAAAATATGTCCAGGAGGGACACAAGAAAGTTAAGGATCTTGAATTGGAGAAGGCGAAGCTGGAGATTTACTTCAATAAACAAGTAATCAAGGGTGATTCTAGACTGTTTTGGGGTCAGATTCAATCACATGCCAGCAAATTCAGGCTGTGTCCATAGCTTTTGAAAAGGGGAGTGTGGGTTCATGCTGCCTGCTAACAAGATGAACGTAGAGTGAAAATGTTTTCGGAGCTTCGAAACAATTGACTTGGGGGCGAAAGCTAGGAAACTTAGACATGACCTAAGTCAAATATTTTGTCTCGAATCCTAGTTGAAACTCATTGTTTAAGAAATGTTAACATGCAGATGATAAATCTGGACTTTAGACAGTTCATTATTTAAGAGTGATGAGCCAAGACTTTTTAAAACCAAAAGATGATTGTTGCTGATCTATATTAGTTTAAGAGGATGTACCGAGGGGATATAAGAGTCAGTTCAAAGAAAACATAATCATGGCATTTCTTCCCTGCTTTGGAGTAAATGCATAAAGATCCTTAGGGTAAGTCATTTTAAAGGAAAGGGGTGCTTAGAAAGCTTACTTAAAAATCTCCTGAAATGTGCTTATTAGTACAACCACTTTTGTGCTTTTTTGTCTGTCTTCTGTGCTCTCATACCGTATTTTGTCACCTTCCAAATACTGTTTGGTATTTTAAAGTAAACTTAAAAGTAAACTACTGTACTTAAAAAAAACCTTCCTCAAGCAATTGGGTTCGTATTTAATGCTTGGATGATACTTGTCAGACATTGTGCAGGTGTACATTTTTTATAGTTCATTTCATACATTCTGGTTAACACAAGCAACTCTGGCTTTGCTCAGCTACTGGGGTGTGTGAACTTTATAGGCAGTTTCTTACTGATCATATGCTGGTTTTGACCTACAAAGTCCTACATGCCTTGGGACCATGTTATTTAAAAGACCGCATTCTCCCATGCAAACCTACCCAGGTTCCTTGGGAAAGACCGCTTCTGCCTATAATGCCATCACATTTGGTGGGAACTCCAGAGATCAGGGCCTTCTCACAAGCTCTGGAACTCCATGCTAAGGGAGACAGACCTTGGTAGGCTGATCTCTGATGACGTTCCAAAGACAGGGTGCCACCAATGAAAAGACCCTATCTCAGAACACCACTTTCCTCAGCTTCAACAGCCAAAGGACAAAGAAGGGTCCCTGAGGAAAATCTTAGTTCCTAGACATGTTCATCCAGGAACAAGCGGACCTCGACTGAGACCTGCGGCCCCTGGATTCCGTGAATTACGAATTGGAAATTGTTGGTATGAAGCAATGGACAGTCAGTGGCAGAGGAAGCTGCTTGGGCGCCTGGGGCGGCACGCCCAGGGGTGGGGCAAGCCACGAGGCCTCCAGAGTCTGCCTGCCTCCTCTCACTCAGCCGCCCTACAGCTAGGGCGGAGGCAGCGGGCGGACCGTCTGGGCAGCACGGAGCCTGCGTGCGCCCAAGCCACCACGTGTCAGGTGTGCATGCGGCAGCCAGGCCCTGTGACCAATAGGACTTTGCAGGACTGGGGCCTTCCTAAGTTTGTTCTGAAGAGGCAAGGCGCAGCTGCACAGGTGAGGCCGATTGGTAACTCACAGCACCTGGTGGCAAGAGCAGGGAAGGGATAAAAGGTCAGCATTTCCCTTTGGCTCTTTGCCACAGCAACACACTTTCTTCCTTGCTGTGTTTGGCTTCTTGACTCCTTGCTTCCTGATCCTCAGACCCTTGGCGCCTTGCTTCTTGATCCTCGGACCCCTGACTTCGTGACTCCTTGCTTCTTGATCCTCGGACCCCTGACTTCGTGACTCCTTGCTTCTTGATCCTCAGACCCCTGACTTCATGACTCCTTGCTTCTTGATCCTCGGACCCCTGACTTTGTGACACCTTACTTCTTGATCCTCGGACCCTTGACTTCGTGACTCCTGGCTTCTTGATCCTCGGACCCTTGACTTCGTGACCCCTTGCTTCTTCATTCTTGGACCCCTGACTTCTTGACTCCTTGCTTCCTGACCCTCAGACCCTTGGCTTCTTGACTCCCGCCTCTCTGACCCTCGGACTCTTGGCTTCCTGGCTCCTGGACTCCGGTTCCAGCTCCCACCCCACCTTCTTGCCCCCGGTCCCAACGCAACGTCCCCAGCCGGGACTTCGATCGCCTGTGAATCGGACCATGACACCACGTCTCTCCCAGGAGAGACACATGGCTTGGGCACACTGCAGGCCCCATGGTGAGTGCCACCTGGCATTTTGTCACCCCCCTCAGTGGTGACACCCCGGGGCGACCTGCACCCACCACACACCCCTTCCTTCAGCCCTATGGACAGTCTTCTATTTATTATAAATATTAACATTATGCAACAAGGCCGTATGTGGGATGTGTAGTTCAAATAAGGACCAGAGAGCTGTCTTAAGTTGATGGGGATTTCTCTGCCAGTAAAATGAGAGGATGTGAAATCCAAATGTAACAGTCTTGATGTAATATTACAGCATCTAGCTGTCCCCACCCCAGTATCACAACAGGGGGCAAAACTGCCAGCTCAGAACATGTTGATCAATTAGTTAGAAGCACACTGTTTATTTTCTCTAACTACACTTTGTCCCGCAAGAGCACTTTCCTTCTAGAACACAAGCTACTCCCACACTTTCGGCTACAGACTGCAGTGAAACTCAGCCTCTTGCCAACATCCATCACTTGTCTGGGTTCTTCTATTGTTTGCCCTTGTGAGCATAGTTAGTGCATCCCAGCGTAAAACCAGTTCAAGCCAGAGGATGATCTGCAGCTGAAATTCAAAGTGAGATATGGGGTGCTGATAGCTTCTATGAAACCTGGCAGGATGTTTTGAAGGCTTCAGAGGAGTCAGTGTGATTTTTATTTTTTGCAAGTAAAAGCCAGACATGCCAGGCTATGTACTACACTTTTCAGTGGGGATTTTAAGGAAAAGTGCCCAGGGGAAAGCTGGAATCTTTGGGGGCATGGCAGAGGTTGCTCAATCCCTTCCCTGCTAGGGAAGAAATAAAGACCTTGTTTTCGATCCCCACCTGCAGCCCTGGTTATTCATTTATTTATGTCCTGGTGGCCTAAGTAACAAGGACTCGAAGGCTTGACTTCACCAGTTTTCTTACAGCTGTATGGAATATTCATGCTGGCATGCGGTTGAGTTTTCCAAACTAATTTTACATTAAGAAAACCAGTTGAAAGGCTTTCTGGGAAACGATATATAATGAGTTAAAGAAAATGTTTAAAAACACCAGAAGACTTTTTACTGGGTATAGTAGTCAAAGAGATACCAAGAAAAGATAAGATTGTTCATGTATGCAACAACAGTGGCAAAAACCCTTTTAGCCCAAAAATGGAAATAACAAGAAGTACCAATGAAAGAAGAGTGGCAGATGAAAATGATGGACTTTGTGGAACTAGCGAAGCTGATGGGAAAAATTCGAAACCAGCACAAAGTATTCCAAAAAGACTGGAGTAAATTTATACAATATTTGAAAGATCACTGTAAGCAATTAACAACACTAGTAGGGTTATTTGAAAACTGTAATGAGAA